TTCCTGGAAGCCACAGGCCCGCAGGCCGTCGACAAGTTCCTGTTCGAGGGAGAGCGTGGACGAGGTGAATCGTTTTCATCCTTCGTGGCAACCAAGGAGCTGGCTCGACAGGAGATGGAATCCCACCTCGGGGAACATGTCAGCGACTCAGCTTGAAAGGACCGATGATGCGGACCTTTGATGAGGTGGCTTCAGCTGGAAGGGGAAGTCAGATCACGGCGGCTTCAAGGGCAACATGGGCGACCTGCAGAACCGCGCCCGGTGCTTCAACTGCAACGAGATGGGACACTTCGCCAGAGACTGACCTTTGAAAACCTCATGCCCTGAGGCGTGGCGTGGCGACAAACCGTTGCCCGAGCGTGGGTTTGTTGCCCTCGGCACGCCCATCAGCGCCCCGGAGTACGTTGCCGCGTGCGCGAGGGAGCGCCTGGAGCAGGAGCAGGGCTTGCTGGCGGAGCTGCCACAGCTGCCTGACTTGCAGTGTGCCTGGCTGCTGCTCCTCTTTTGCGCCGCGCCTCGGGCGCAACACTTGCTCCGCACCGTGCCGCCTTCCCAATCGGCGGCATACGCGCAACCACACATGACCATGCGGTCTGGGGCACACTGCAAGCGCTCCTCGCCGCTTGGCCGGAGGCCCGCCGCCTTGCTTTTCTTCCAGCGCGCGAGGGCGGCCTTGGTCTTTTGTGTGCCACACGCGCTGCGCCTGCCGCCTACTGGGCGGCCTGGGCCGATTCCTTGCCGGTCATGCTCCAGCGTCGCCCTGATGCGGCGGAGCGGTGTGTGCGGGAGCTCCTCGTAGACGACGAAGCTGCCGCCCCTTGCCTTCGCGAGGCGGCCGTCGCTGGCGACCTGCTCCGGCGCCACTGGCCCGAGCGTCCGTCCTGGCAGGACATCCTTGCGCGCGCGGCCCCTCCCGCTGTAGCGGATGACAGTGAACCAGGCGATTGGCCGCATGGTTGGCAGCTTCTCGCGTCTCGCGCACTCAACTCCCATTTTCGCAAGACCGAGCTTCTGCCACACATGCGGCCGAGCGACCGCGCTTGTCTCCGCTCGCAGTCTGGCCCGCATGCGGGGGCTTGGCTCGGCTGTGCCGACTGACCCGGGCACCACGCTGCCCCCGGCGCACATGCACGTCGCCTTGCGCAGGCGCCTGCGCCTCGCGCTGCCCCTCACGCACCGGTATTGCGGAGGCGATGGGTTCCCGGGGTGCGGCGCCGCGCTCGATGTCTTGGGCGACCATGCGGCAGCGTGCCCGCGCAGCGGACTGTTGGCCCGCCGCCCCCTTGCTTGAACAAGCGTGGGTCCGCGTCGCGTGCCAAGGTCTGGGACCCGAGGGCAGGGTTGTCCCTCAGCAGTGGTTGGCCAACACTTCTGCGCCAGGCGTCAGTGCGCAGGACAGGCGCCGCCTGGATCTTGTTCTTTACGGCGCCACAGCGCTTCGCCCAAGCGCTGTGCTGCGACGCCACGCTCGTTGCTCCGCTCCGTCGCGACGGCCGACCGCAGCCACGCGCGGCCGAGGAGGACGGCGCAGCCATTGCGGTAGCGCGGCGCCGCAAGGAGGCGCGGTACCCGGAGCTTTGCCGGCCTGGCCCGCAGCGGCTGGTCGTTCTTGCTTGTGACGCGGGCGGGCGGTGGGGCCCCGAGGCGTGCGGCTTAGTTGATCGCTTGGTGCGCCTCCGGGCGCTCCGCGCGCCTCCAGCCGTCCGCCGCGCGGCCGAGGCGGGTTGGCGCCGCAGGTGGTGGGCGCTTCTCAGCGCCGCCTTGCAGCGCGCCCTCGCTTCCACTCTGCTCGGAGGACGTTGGCTTTCCCCCGCGCGGCCGGCTGCGCAAGGAGAGCCCGACCTCGCCGATGTCCTTGCTTGGCTGGCCCGTCCGGGCCCAGCCTTTTGCATTTGCGCGGCTAGTCGCCACGTCGGCGCGCGCGCGCTTCGTTCGCCTTTCTCGGCGGCCGTTTCGGGGGGGGGGGGTTGAGGGTTCCCTGGGTCTCATTGCCGCTGGACGGAAAAAAGCGTGCGTGCAAAAAAAAAGCTAATCCACTACAAGCTCATCAAAAGGCTTCTCCGACAAGACCAAGCGGACCTTCGTTTTTGGTGCCCACCCTTCCAATGCCCCTGCAGTTTTCATGCGCTACAACCAGCCTAGGCGACTTGCAGTATTTGCAGGAGTTCGACGCAGGCCGAGCGAGGCCTTGGTGGACACCGCGGCCGAGGACGCTGTGATCGGATCGAACGCAATGAGCGGAGAGAGGGCCATGGGATTGCGAGCCATTCCAGCGACTGGTGTGGAACTTCCTGGCGCTGGAGGCATTGGCGGATGTACCGATTGGCGTTGCTGGCCATAACTGCATCCTCAGGCTTACGGTGCTGAAGGACGCCGGGGGGAGTTCGAGACACCTCCCTTGCTGCCGTTGAGTTTCCTGGAGACGATGGACACCATCATCGACTTCCAGAAGAGCGAGTGCGTCATTGGCGGCAACACCGTTGAGATGATCAGATTGCCCACAGGACACCGCGCCATCGACATTTTGCAGTACCACCCCGACGGTTGGAACCTGCCAACCGAGATGCGAAAGGACCCAAACCTGGACCCTTTTGTGCTTCCACCCCACACATCATCGGCGACGGTATGTGGCTTCAACGCGCAGATGACAGAGTTTTTGTGCAAGCTCTACCTGGTGGGCCCGCGGATTGCGCCGGACTGCCTCCGAAGCACATCACTCGCCGCCGCGCGTCACAGGTTGTGTTCGATGACGGCAGCGAGATCACCATCGATGACGACCAACGAGGAGACGCAGCTGCGAGGGACAATAGCATCCATAAACTGGATTGCCCGTGAGGGCAGACCTGACGCCTCAGCAGCCGCAAGCATCCTGGCCGGATGCTTCCCGAACCCCACGGCCGAGAATGCGTTGGAGGCGAACAGAGTGGTGAACAAGATCAAGGGCCACAATGTCGTGCTCCGAATTTTCAGCATGCCCGAGGACAAGATCCGCCACATCTTGATCGCGACAGCTCCTACGACCCGTCAGGCAAGCAGAAGCCGCAGCATGGATGGTTGCAGGGCATCACCGATGACACCTTGAGTCAGGGAGCCTCTGCACCTATCTCCTTGGTGTCATGGCGCTCTCGGAGATTGCGGAGGAAAGCATGCGCGCGTGGCAACCGCGTTGGGCGCCATGGAGAAGCAGGTAGCAATGCTGGAATCTCTGAGGTGGTCGAGGTACAGCCCTTGAAAGCACGCTGAACGTGACGATGACGGCGGTCTTCACGGTCATTGCCTCGGAGAACCCAAGGTTCGCTGACCCGAACCTGGTGGCCATCATCGACGCCAAGTCGGTGTACGACGCAACACACTCAGAACAGGCGCAGGGAGAAGACGACCGCAGCGCTCTCAAGATGCAAGGAGAGCCTCGCGAAGATGCAGGGCAGGATCAGGTGGCTGCCCCACAACTTCAACCCGGCAGACATGCTGACGAAGATGATCGGCGCTCACGAGGAGCCCAAATTGAGCGTTTAGTAGAGAGTGCTCACCCACACCTCCGCCGCTTGCGCATGCCCCTGACCTTGCGAACGTGCGGCGCCTGCCGCGATGCGGAAGTGGTGCGCCTGCCACGAACTCTGTGCCTGACCTTGGGCAAGTGGCGCGGCCGAGGCGGTTAGCCGGCTGCCGTTGCGGCCCGGCTGACAAGCCTCGCCGCGGGACGGCCTGGTTCCGAAGGCTGATGGGCTTCTAGGTCGTAGAGCGCGTTTCACCTAGGCCTAGTCTACGGCGTTTCACGTTCACATGCTGGCGAGGAGGAGAAAAAACTGTCGGGGGTTGCACCCTACCTCCCCTCGGCACCTTGCTGGCTGACCTTGCCCACACGCCACCGGCGGGCGCATCCCGCTTGCCTGGAGGCGCCGGTGTACAAATGGATGCCCCCTAAGCACATCCGGGGGCCGCCAGTATATCAGTGGTGCGTGCCACAAAGGCTGTACCTCACCTTCGAACATCATGGGGGGGCTGCCGCCCCCCTGAATCCCCGCGAAAGCTGTACCTGACCTTGCGAAAGTGCTGCGCCTGCCACGACACCTGCGCCTGACCTTGCGAAAGTGCTGCGCATGCCTCTTTAACATATTTTTTGATCCTCTGAGTTTTCATTTTCAATAGGAAATCTAAATGAAGATTGTTTTTTGACCTATTACTTTTGATCGTCAGGAATATGCTTTTTTGATGCATTTTGTTATTTTTTTAAAATCCCTCACCCGCCAGGGACACCCCAGCACTGCGGAAAAAGGCAAAAAAAAACAGGCTGCCTCGAGATTCAGGGGATGTTTTCTGCGGCTGAAGCAGGCAGTGGAGCCTGCGTTTGCAACCTCTGCCTTTGGCCTGGTCGACGGCAGGAACAATCAAGAGAGGACTTGCCCGTTCACACGGCGGTGCCGGCTAGTCGTTTGTGGCTTGGTTGGCGGCCGGTGCCATCCGTTTCACCATCGGTTGCCCGGCGTGAGGGCTGCCAGACAGCAAGGCGCCGCACATTTTATTGCACGAACGCACTTGATTTGCACGAGGGTTCGATGATTTGCATGGAAGGTGTTGGGCGAAGCGCGCCGTGTGGCGAGATGGAGGTGTCAGAGTAACAGAAGTGGTGTCGGTTGTAAACAGAATTCCCCTCCGTTTCGTTCCTGTTTTTTGGTGTGTAGCTGGTTTGCGTTTCATGTTGTGTGGCTGGCTTGTTTGCTGGCGTTTGTGGTTTTGTTTGTTTGTTTTTGTTAGTTTGGTTGAGCCGTACGGTTGGGTTAGGAAAGCTTTCATCAAACACAACCTGGGAACCTTGTTGTTTGTGCGCCTTGTGTCAGTTCCCGATCTCTGGGCATGTGTTAATGCAAACAGGAGGAAGTTGGTGGCAGCAACCGGGTTCAAACCGCCAAAACAATGTGGTTCTTGAGCAGCGAATCGTTGTGATTGCCACTGATGACATAACACAAACATGTTTAGCAGCTTGCGCAATTCTTGGAGCGTGCTAAGCTGCACATTTGCCACTGTGCTGCTTGCAATGTGATGGTGCCATGGCGTTCCTTTCGAGAAACGCGAGAGTGGCCGCCCGAGCTTGGCGATGGAGCTCGACGCAGTCTCAAACGACTGCCAGTGGGCCCACCGGAGCTGGAGCAACTTTTCAGAAAATGGCCGATGCCTTGAACGACGCTGAGGGTGGCTTGAAGCAGAAGATGCGGACTGCCAAAGCCGGCAGAGTCCAAGCAGCGGATGCGATACAGTATGAAAAAGAGACCTTGATGAAGGAGTTGATCCGCAAGCACATTCAAGACATGCCCATGAAGATGAGCCCAGTGAGTGTATACTATATCTTGAAAAAAGATATCCAGAACATCTTCCGTCTTGTTCGTGAAGCAGAAGAAGCCAAACTGAAGGCAGAAATGGGCCACCGCAAACAAAGGACAGAACCACCAGCAGAAAGTGAGGCTGGAGCTCAATCAAGCAACAAAGCTGCTACACAGGCACCAGGTCTGGAGCCAGCAGAAACTGGAACTGGTTCTGCTGAGCCGCCGGAAACGGGGCATGCTGAATCGGAGCCACAAATACTGGACGAGGAGGGCTATGAGAGCTTCAACGCATGGCGAAGAGAGACCAAAAGAACGCCAAGAGATGAGGCGTTTGAGCTTTTCATGCAGCTTTACAAAGCAGAGCGTGAGCGGCTCAGTCAAGGGACCACAGCAATATGCCAGAAGGGGCTTGCTCGAAACGAAAGCTGGCTCCAACTTTGAAAAATCGAACGAAGAAGAGCGGAAACCACGGAGCCATGCTCGTGCAAACCATCATGTTGGAAGGTTGATTTTCTTGTTTGGGGCTGATATGTATATATATAATATACATATAAATATGTATATATGTATGCACACATAATTATATCCCTGAGAATGACTCGAGCAAAACTGCGGAAATCTGCCCCTCCTGGGTTCAAGCCTTGTGCTCTGTGAGTGTCAGGTGAGGGGCACTTCGCCCAGAGGCGATGGGACATCACCCGGAGAAAAAGGTCCCGCCGCGTCTTCGGCCTGCTCAACCGGGGCTACAAGGAGGTGGAGGAGGAGCATGAAGCTCAGGCAGGGTTTTCCTGGCATTCAGTGACTCTTGAGAGATGTGGGCAAGAGTGGGCGTGTGTGAGTGTGTGTCTGTATATGTTTGTGTGTCTGTGTCATTCTTTTTTGGGCAGAGACTAGAAGAGAGGTGGGGTTGTACTCATTTCAATCTCCCAAGCTATATCCTGCTGTGCATCTCGTTGAAAGGAGGAGGAGTTTTCAGACGACTGGCGCAAAAAGTCAATCCTGGAAGATCTATGGAAAGCTGAGTACTACCGGCATCATCACAGAAGACTCCGTGAGGACTTGCTAAGCATCTGTTGGGCTCAAACCAGGACTTGTTGACAAGTTGCATGGGGTGTGTCGCAGACATGCCTGACTAGCTCAGTGAGTGGAAGTGGGAGCTTCTGCCCGTGTTGACCGGTTCGGATGAATGATCTTTTGAAGGTGAATCACTCTCCTCCGAATCATAACGACGCAAGACAATCAAACTGACCCTCTACTCTAGTTGATGAGTGATGAGGTTGTCCCATCTGTAAGGGGATGCTGATTTTTTAGTTTGAGACACGTCCAGGTTCACTTAAATCCAGAGCCGACAGTGCCTCGTGACTCGCTTTGCAGGACATCCCTGAGCGCGAGTCGCCTGGTCGCCTGGCGCTGCGCACGGACCAAGTGGCCGATGTGGTGGCCTCGGCCCTGCGCTCGGAGTATGCGGATCAGAACCGCCCGGTGCTGACGCACGAGCTGGCGGACTACGAGAACCCGCGCCATGGGCTTGCTTTTGTTGCATGTCCCAGTTTTGTCCCAATTTTTGGTGCCAGGTTGGCCGCCCGGAAGGTTCAAAAGGAACGAAGCTCGGTGCAGCTTCGACGCCTCAGGTACATGATGAAGAGGAGCGCCATGGAGCGACTGCTGCAGGAGCGCTGCGTGCGCAACCAGCTGGACGAGCGGGTCATGCCGCGACTTTTGGACAAGGACTGGAGGGAGTCCACAAGTTGCTTTAGGCTCGCACTGGCCATGACCTTTGGGCAATTGGCACCCGAATCCACGGTTGGCGGATGCTGGAGAAAACTAATGCAATGATATGCCCAGGCAACGACCTCTTGTCCAATGAACACCCTGATTTGTCGATTTTCAAGATGCCCTTGCCTTGTCCACACACATTCAGCTTGCCACATAAGACAGTGGGCAATGAAGGCACAGTGTACCTTCTGATTTGCATTTGTTGACTTTCGTTGCCTTGAGCGTCCACACACATTCAGCTTGCCACGTAAGACAGTGGGTCGGCTGTAAGCAGCCCATCAGTCCCATGTGGCTCACTTTCACATGAGCACAGGAAAAACGCTTAACCGCAAGAAAGGCTTAACTTGCAACGACTTGGGGAGCCCGAAAAACCAAACAGCTCAAAGGTCGGTTTGCGAGGTGGCGTACTGGAGCACACACGCTAAATGTATATGTATATGTATATGTATATGTGTATATATATATATACACACGTAAATATTACTATAAATGCCCATATGTATGCATAGTCTACGTACATATTCTTAGGTACGTTGCTTTGTCAACCCTCGGCACCCGGTTGGCCTCAGGACCCGGACCTGGTGAAGCTGCGGCGCGAGGCCGCGCTGCCGCCGGAGGTGCTGGAACCCTTGGCGGCCTTCAGGCGGGGTGTCGTTTGTGTCGTTTCTGCTGCCCCCCCCACGTGTCTTTCTTTTGGGGGAAGGGCAGCTCTTATTTTTATGTTTTTTTGTGGGAGGGGGGGGAGGTTTTTTTTTTTTTTTTGTGGGGGGGGGGAGTGAGGGGAAGTGGGGGAAGGAGGGCAGCAGGGGATGTTTCTAGTGTTTTCTTTTGCCCCTTGCTTTTTTTTTCCTCTTTGGGATTATTTTTTTTAGTGGGGGGAGGGGAAGTGCGGGTGGTTTCCTTTTGGTTTCCTTTTGGCTTCCTGTTGGCTTCCTGTTGGCTTCCTTCGGTTTCCTTTGAACACTAGCCCGAGATTATTTAGTGGTTCAGCACCTCTCCCCCAAAATACGGGTGGGCCCCAAGGGCACAGAATTCTCTTGAAACGGTTTCCCAAATCTTGCCTTTGAAACACCCCGAAAGAAACTGCCTACACGAGTTCTCAAAATAGTTTCCGTGTAATTGTATAGGCATCATCCCAAGGGAGAAGTTTTGAATGAAGCACATGGAAAACACGAACTAGTTGCGGACGAAGAGGGAAGTTGACTGGCTTAAGGCAGAGGTCTGAACGTGTTTGGGTGAGGTGTCAACGACCCAAGCCTCAGCCCTGCCTTCAGGGGAGATGTGCGGTGGAACTTTGATGCCCGAGAGCGGTTGGCACAGAAGGTGGACGCGGCGAGCGCTGCCTTGGACATGATTTCAAAGGAGGCGAGGGCGGGCCAGACCTATGTTTGCTTGCCCCTGTAAGGGGACCAGGGGTTAATAGTTTAAACACATGCCCAATCTTCGAGGAAGCGCCCAAGCCGGACGTTGCTGCGGTCACCCAGGGTTTGCCAGAGAACTTGGTGGACGACGCCGCGTCGAAGCTTCCCGGCTTGCACCACCCGTGGCGCAACCATGTAGGATTCGACACCGCGGTGCCCAGAGGAATGGCCGGCGGCACGAAGTTCGGCCAGCCGGAGCCTGCGCTGCAGGCGCAGGTCACGCGCCTGCGATATCCCACCCTGCAGCGCGTGGCACACACGCTCCCTGCGGATCCCAAGTGGCGGGCACACGTGGTGCGATCGATTCGGGTCCTGGAGCGGTCCAAGGACTGGGACTTCAAGTCCAAGCTGGAAGCCATGAACCGCATGAAAGAGGTGTACGACTCACTGAAACCCAGTGAGGTTTACACCGCTGGATTGGATGAAAAACTGGTGGTGAACCGGGTGGCGTCTCACATCAAGCGCAAGTATGCCCGCGACGCTGAATATGTCAAGACCTACCGGAAGAGATGGCTGAAAGAGAAGAGCTTCTACCGCTACAGGCCGGGTGCGCGCGCGCGCAAAGGCATTGCAAGGCAGGCCAGGTGGTGCCAGCAGAATGTGGGCGATGATGCACAGGCATGTTTTAACTTTGCAGCGAGGTGGCAAGACTTGAGAGCTGTTCGTTTGACTCGGTGCAGGTTAAGTGACACAACCAAAGTGCATAGACGCGCAGCGTTGTTCAGAGTGGCCTTCGCTGCAGGCCCAGCCTCACTGCCACTGCACCACTGAAGAAGGAGAAGAAGAAGTGAAGGGCAATGACAATTCGTTTCACCTTGGATTGCCAGCAGTAAAACGTGAACGACAAGTTGCTCCAATCCGTCGATAAACTTTGCCGCCCGCTCCCCCCTCATCAGCCGTCCGAAGTCATTCGCGGCTCAGCGCCCGCCGGCTTTTCCGCGCCATGGCGGTGTCGGAAACGGCTTGCTTTGGGGGGCTCTTTCCGAGGGCGCCAGCGGATGTGCATCTCGAGATGCGAAGCATTCAGTCAGACAACCTGGTGACCAACGCGTCCAGGCAGAGTGTGGGTGTGCGTGTTTACATGTATGTATGTCATGCAATGTAATGTAATGTAATCTATTGTAATGTAATGCAGTGTAATGTTATGTAGTGTAATGTATGTATGTGAGTGCGTATGTATGTATGTGTGTGTGTGTGTCTGTAATGAAATGTAATGCAATGCAATGCAATGCAACACAATGCAATGCAATGCAATGCAATCTAATGTGATGTATTGTAATGTAGTGTAATGTAATGTATTGTAATGCAATGCAATGTATGTATGTATGTATGTATGTATGTATGTATGTATGTATGTATGTATGTATGTATGTATGTATGTATGTATGTATGTATGTATGTATGTATGTATGTATGTATGTATGTATGTATGTATGTATGTATGTATGTATGTATGTATGTATGTATGTAATGTAATGTAATGTATGTATGTAATGTAATGTATGTATGTATGTATGTGATGTAATGTAATGTAATGTAATGTAATGTAATGTAATGTAATGTAATGTAATGTAATGTAATGTAATGTAATGTGTGTAATGTAATGTAATGTATGTATGTATGTATGTATGTATGTAATGTATGTAATGTATGTATGTATGTATGTATGTATGTATGTATGTAATGTATGTATGTATGTATGTATGTATGTATGTATGTATGTATGTATGTATGTATGTATGTATGTATGTGTGTAAATGTATGTATGTATGTACATGTATGCAATGCATGCATGCATGCATGCATGCATGCATGTATGTATGTATGTATGTATGTCTGTGTATGTAATGTATGTATGTATGTATGTATGTATGTATGTATGTATGCACGTGTATGTACATGTATGTACATGTATGTACGTGTATGTATGTAAGTACATGTGTGCATGTATGCATGTTTTTATGTATGTATGTATGTATGTAATGTAATGTAATGTATTGTAACGTAATGTCATGTCATGTCATGTCATGTAGTGTATGTTATGTATGTATGTATGTTATGTTATGTTATGTTATGTTATGTTATGTATGTATGTATGTATGTATGTATGTATGTATGTATATGTGTATGTATATGTATATATGTATATGTATATGCATATGTATATGTATATGTATGTATGTATGTATGTATGTATGTATGTATGTATGTATGTATGTATGTATGTATGTAATTATGTATGTATGTAATTATGTATGTATGTAGTGTAATGTAATGTAATGTTAATGTTAATGTTAATGTGAATGTTAATGTAAATGTAAATGTAAAATGTAAATGGAAATGGAAATGTAATGGTAATGTAAATGTAATGTAAATGTAATGTAAATATAATGTAAATGTAAATGTAATGTAATGTAATGTAATGCAATGTAATGTAATGTAATGTAGTGTAGTGTAGTGTAGTGTAATGTAATGTAATGGTAATGTAAGGTTATGTTATGTTATGTTATGTATGTATGTATGTATGTAATATATGTAATATATGTAATATATGTAGTGTATGTAATGTGCGTTATGAATGTAATGTATGTATGTATGTATGTTATGTAATGTGATGTAATGTAATGTACTGGAATGTAATGTAACATAATGTAATGTAATGTAATGTAATGTAATGTAATGTTATGTATGTATGTATGTAATGTATGTATGTATGTGTGTTTGTTTGTGTATGTATGTAATATATGTGATGTATGTAATGTATGTAATATATGTAATATATGTAATATATGTAATGTGCGTTATGAATGTAATGTATGTATGTATGTATGTATGTTATGTAATGTGATGTAATGTAATGTACTGGAATGCAATGTAACGTAATGTAATGTAATGTAATGTAATGTAATGTAGTGTAATGTATGTATTAATGTGTTGTTTGCTTTTGTTTGGGTAGAATGGCGGGGTCTAGAGGCATTACCGACTCTTGCACACGCTTGGTTACTGCAACCATGGCCGTTGTTGCTGCCGCTCGTCCCTGAAGTTTGTTTCGGGAGTTCGGCGGCAGCATGATGCAAGAATTCGAGATGACCAAGCCTTTCGAGCTGGGAAAGCTGCTTGTTTGGGATTCAATGCGCGTTTGACCATAGGGAAGGCAGTAGGTTGCCAGAGGCATACTTGGCGCTCATGTGCCAAGGCTGAAGACGATTTGGGGCATGAAGTTGGAGTTTGCATTGAGAACGGCTTTGGCGGCCCTCCTGGCAGCAGTCTATGCGGTGCACCCTGAGGCCCGTTTGCGGTAAAGGCTGGCTTGGATGCTTGACCCAATCCATACAACCAAAAGCGATGTGCAACCAAAAGCGGGAGGTTGGAGCCTTGGAGCTTTGAAAACAAGTCCAGGTTCAGAGAGGGGAGTGGGAGAATGCCACCGTCTTCGCGCCCGTGCTGGCCATTGCCTGTGTTTCTGGTCCAAGCTTAGGCGCGCATTGCCGGGATATGTGGGAAGGTTCTCGTTTCGGGTTGTGCCGTGCCCGTAGGAGCAACGCTCCATCACGCCTGGGAGATGTGGCAGGCAAGCGCTGCCTCACGCCGTTTTACATAACTTGGCAGCCTTAGGCAGGTTGAAGCGAGGCCAACTCTATTTCGTTCTATCAAATTCTATTTTTCCAAAACCATGTAGTGCACAGCCTCGCAGGCAGGGCATTTCGTGGCCCCAGCCTCCCTCCTTTTGGGAGAATTCCTTAGGCGACGGTGATCGGGTGCCTGTCCAGCATGATCATGAACGAGGCGCTGCGGCCTGTGCGGCCCTTCGCGCTGCGGGAGGCTCTCATGCTGGGAGCTTTCCTGCCCTCCGGAAGAATTCAGCCTCAGGGTTGTGGGATCAAGGGGGTTATCCCCACTTCTGTGATCTTCATGTTGGGGTTAGTCTTTGTGAAGCCCTTTTTGTCCTATCACAGAAGCGGTCATTTCCCACAGCCCTGCCCAGCCTCTCTTTGGAGCCCTTCCGGCACCCTGGCCCACACCCCCGAAGCACTCCAGAACCCATTTGGGAGATCCCCGGGCCTTCAGCTGGGGAACAACATAGGAAGGGGGGAGGGGCTGTCACTAAGAGCACTTCTCCTTTCCAGGCCTCTTTCAGGTACTTGTTGGATTTGCACCTCGAAGCCTGAAGGATTGTGGCTAGTCGCAGAAGTGATCTAATCGGGTCACTTGTCAGCATGTTTTGGCTCCAAAGGTTTTCTCCAAGTGACCAAGACACAGCTTCAATACGCGGAAGACCCGCGCTCGCACCCACACATGCAAGCGCAGACGCATGCGTGCGCACATGCACACAGGCACGCACACAGGCACGCACACAGTTGACGCGCAGCTGCCTAAGGGCCACGGTGTTCTTCCTCTGTTCCCGGCCCTGGGCGCTGGTTCAAAAGCGAGTGTCTGTGGGCGTGATGCTTTGCGGCACCATCAACATGTCAGTCACGCATCATGCGAAGCCGTGGTGGTTCCCATGGACGATTGGGGTTCCCTGCACTGTGGGCGTGGTGGCGGCGGTCATCGCGATGTGTTTACCGCGGCCTTGGCTGGCGTGTCGGGAACTGCGGACACGACTGGCCTTTCAAGCCTGGTCGGAGCGGCACGCCGGAAGCCTAATTGCCGCCGTCCGGCGTTTGCGGCTTCTCTTTGAGGGAGCCAGCGTGCGTTCAGATCAGCTCTCACACCAATTCCCTGTAACCAGTTGTTATGATATGTTCTCCATGGCCTCAGGTGCTCATTGAACAGTACCATGCCTTTGCGGGGGCGGACTCAATGCATCATGCCGCTGCGGCCCATTTGATTTCCGCTTTCCGCGACAACCAGGCGAAGATGAAAGCCCTGCTGAAGCTTCGCAGCAGTTAGGATTCTTGGGACTAAGCACAGCCCCCAAGTTTGGTGCAGTGCTTCTTCTCATGGAACGCGCATGTCCAGCTGAGGACTCCTGCGTCCTGGGAGCCCCCAGGCTACAAGCCGCGGATTGTCCCAGCTTGTAGGTGAAATGCATTGAATGGTGAGCGCTTTTTGAGGGCACGAAGGGAACGAAGGGCACAAGAGCCATCTCCTAATTCTTGGAGGGCCTCTTTCAGTCCATATTGAAGGGAAAACCAGCAAGAAGCCAGAGGTTTTGAGGAGGTCCCTAGTTTCTGATGCCCAGTTTCATCCCTCAGAGCCAAGGCTCTTCTTCTACCCCGAGACTACCGAGCGTTTAGGTGCCGCAGTGAAGTTCTTCGAGAGCCAGCTGTCAGCCTTGAGGCACGACAAATCTTTGGACTTTTGCTAGCGGAGCCTTTCCCCCCTAGGCTGCCGGTTGGCTTTCTTGATCTTTTCGTCTCCCCCTGGCACCTTGAGCCGGCGCGGCTGCGCAGCGACGTATGCGCAAGTCTAGTGTGGTGCCCTGTGCCCTCTCCGATATGGTTACCACGGGGCGCCGCGTATCTTATCCTTCTGCTTTGGTTTGGTGGTTTCATGTGGCCGGTATGACCTTGTCACCCCAACTGTTTAGGTAATTGCGGGCAGGAGCTACTGTATATTCGCTTGATTTATCCATTATTGAAATGTGGTGGGGGTGTGCAATAGAAACTTGAATGGACGTGCTGGATCTTGACAGGATGCTTCAATCGACAACTGCCCCTATGACTAAGAATACCGCGTCTGTCACGCATGCGCCCTGGCGATTCAAAAGTGATTTAACACAAGGCTTCCCCCCAAAGACCGTGGGTGGTTCGGCAGTCACACGGATGGCAGTTAGGTGAAGTTCCAGTGCATCACGGACCGCTCGTGGCATTCGACCCTGAAGGCTGTCGCTGCTTGTGTTGATGATGTCGTGGCAGCGGAGCCTTGGTTTGTGAAACGTTGGCTGCAACAGCTTGTGCCGCCCTTCGCTTCATGCCCACAGAGCCGGGAATGCACAGACCTATGCTTTACACGGTTTTCTTTTGTACGTTTCACGTCTGGTTTTCGGGGCGCTGCTAAGGAGCTGGAGGAGCGCGGCGTGCAAGAGGATAAGCTGCTGCGTTTGGAGAAGAGCTGGTCCCAGCTAGAAGAGGACACCCTGAAGGCCCGCTCGCGGATCATGTACCAAGGAGGATGCCCGGCAGAGCTGGGGGTTGGGCGGGGCCTTTCGTTTTTGGCTTCGTAAGCCGCTTGGCACCGCGGGCCATCGGCATGAGCATTCAGCCAAGGAGCGCAGTACGATGAGAGCGAGCACCGCACGGAGCACCACTTCGAGCATGTGAATCGGATGACCTGCTACTTCGCGCTGCACGAGATTCTGTCTGTCACGTCGGCCTGTGCAAAGTTCGGGCTGAAGACGCCGAAGCGCAGGCGGGCGGGCTGGCGGTCCGCTCATGGCAGGAGAAAAAATACCCGCTAGCTTGCCCTTTGTGGGCAGGAGCTTCAATCTGGGCCGCTGCGTTCTTCACTGGTTTTCACCCCCTTCAACGCTGCTTGGCGTGCACTTACCAAGCGAGACTTGCCTTGGCGCTGCTTCCCACGGCTTCTGTCGGGCTTCCTAAGGATGGTGGCGCAGGACGCGTTCAAGAAAGTCTTGTCCTTGGGTGTGTCCGCGCCTGAAATCTGCAGCCCCACATGGCTTAAACAATCCACGGGTATGGTTGCATGGAACGCAGGCAGCTTTGTGCAACGAAATGTGTCTCATTCACGCGCCCCAAGTGGACGCCTTGAGTCGGGACGGTCTTCATGTTTGGCCCAGGTTGTGCATCCTGGCGTGGATCCCGGAGCTTCGAGAGCAACGGCCGGAGTTTATTTGGGGCTTCATCGTGCCCTGGCCTGAAATGTCGCTTTCGCACTCTGATTGTCTGCAACAGGACAGGGACAGGAAGCAAACAACAAATCGAAGAACAACATTAGGGGTGAAGCCGGCGTTTAGGAAAGAGAAGCCGTTTATGAGGTTGTCGAATTGTCAAACCTCGATGGTTGCTGCTTTGTATTATTGTCAATATTTAGCAGGATAGTTTCGGAACTATGAAAGGAAGTTTCACTTACAGAGTCTTTGGACCAAACTTTTAGTGGTTGAATAAAAGCAACTAATTTGTTTTGGGCAAAACACGCTCAGGAAGTATGATGTAGCATTGGCAGAACATTTCGGCAATAGCTTTTGTACTGGTAGATTTCATATTTTTTGGGGTTTGGGTCAGCCAAGGCATTGGGTGACGAAAACCCACAAGGGGAAGTGGAATCGGCTGAAGATTGGCCAGGAAATGGGACAGCCTTTAATCGATGGCCTCGAAAAGTTGTTTGAATTTGGGGTACTAATCGAGGGAGCGCTTGCTATCCGCTAGCCACATTCAACGCCTTGGGGCCTGTTCCACTGCATCCCCAGCTCTTTTTCAAAAGGCGGATTTTCGCGACTCCGACTCCCCGGGGTTGCGCGTATTTTTTGTGAACCCAAGCTAGGCGGCCAGCTTTATCTTCTCAGACTACGAGGGCTCCTCCATCAGCACCGGGCTGGGGCGGGTGATCGGCACGCTCTTCGGAGGCCCGGGCGGAAAAAGCCTGTGGCCTGTTGGGATCGCCTGGGCGGTTCGGTCGGCTTTGATGGGCAATGAATCGCAGGGATGGTGGGGTTCTTGGCGCTCTTTTTGCTGGAGTTGATCGAGTGGGGGGAGCTGGAGGTGCTTGAGCTGGCGGATCCTTGGCAGTTGTGGGCTTGGAAGGCCGAAGGCCGAAGGAAGCGGGTTGGAGCTCATCTAGGGGCAAGGGACAGTGGCCCAATCCTGGCTGCCGGGTTGATGTGTCAAGAGCCGGCAGCTTCTTCGAAAGGGGACCACATGCGCAAGTCGTTGCTATTTCAAGGCGCACGTGTTCATCAGAGTGGAATAACATGTAAGCAGTATGCATGAGAGATCGGCGCGTTGATACAAGGCCTACGTCGTAGTTTGTGTCACCTGGACGTTTCTATGCAGCTTATCCCGATCTTCTCCCCGCCACGGCTACACGGCCACAGTGGCAGCCCGCCAGGATTGGGAGGGAATGACCGAGTTCGGGCGCAGGGTGGCCCTGCTTGAGGGACGTTTTGTCACCACCCCCAGGAAAATGAGAGACTCACACGGGCGCCGCTTCAAATCCTGGCTGGTCGCAGTCGCAAATGAGGCTGGCTTCAGCATCTACATCATGGTCGTTGGGCGCCTGGAGTCCTTTGGGGCTAAGGCTAGCAAGGACGTGGTTTTCCAGCGGACCCAGGAGCAGTTTTTGGGGGCCGCGATCTACATGGTGGTGGAGATGAGCTTGTGGAGAAAATCTGCCAGGGACCCCCCCTTAGCAAATCTGCAGGTGCAATTGAATGCCTTCGGGGCCTTATGGCTTGGTTGGGCTCGCGGTGTGCCCAGGCGCAAGTGGATGACCAACAGGTGAGAATCCTCCAAGCCATCAAAGAAAGCCTCTCCGACGCAGCGCATCCGCATGTGATGACAGCTGGCCAGGAGGACGGCTTGCCAAAGTTGCCAAACAACAACAAGTGCAGAATGCCATGGCTGTTGACTCCTTAAACATCTCCAGACCATGGGGCCATGATAGCCGTTCTGCGCAGTCTTCGTCTTCCTCCGCATTGTCCTCAGATGAGTCCTCCACACCCAAAATGGAACTGGAGGCCAAGCAGGTCGCCCAAGCAGCAATCGCAGGGTGCCTCGGAGCAATTGGGGATATGTCCAGGGCCTCCAACAGGGGTAGCGACGTTTGACGTGATTGCCTATGTTGCCACCACCCTTGCACGTGCTGTGGGGTGTTGCATAGTTATGACGCGTGTGGCTTTGGCTGAGTTTTAGTGACAATATCTTGCACCAGTTGGCAAGTAATTCGTCCCAGTATTGCCATCTAGGAGAACGCCGGGACTCAAACATGCCAACTGGCGCAGGAATTTGTTCATCCACGGCAAAAACGGGCATCCAACTTCCACCACCGCGGGGTCGTTTTGCCAGGAACGCGGCGCTGGATGCGGCCAAGCAGGGCATGGTGGCGGCCAACTACGAGCCGAGCCTGTGGCACAAGCCCTTCCCCCTCGCTGATTACAGCCGGCTCCTGCACACAGAGGAGAAGGCAAGGGGAAATGTCACCTACCCCTCTCAATCCCTTTGGATCACTCCGCACCTTTGTGGCTTTTGAATTTGGAACGGGTTGGAGTTGTCAGCGATGTGTGTTGCAAGCCCTGTCACTGATGCACGTGATGCTTTTGTTTTTTTGACTAGGCGCTGCGCTTGACCCACGTGCTGCATGCGGCATCTCGGGCTGCCGCGCAGCTTTCGCAGCATGTACGGGCGTCGAGTCGCAGCTCGGGGTTCGAGATGGCGGCTGCTAGTGATCTGGGTCTGGCTGTTTTTGGTGGCACCTTCTTTTTTTGTGCTTCGTTTAAAGAGAATCCAAAGGGAAACCAACCATCAGCCCTTAGCAGAGGGGGCCCAAGCTTCAGTGAGCTGAGACCAAGGACGGATACCCTGGATGCTGATGTCCCGGGCCTTGTCGCCACATACACCGCGCGCGCCATCAGCTCCTTGCAGTCCGCCATCGAGCAGCTTGAGACTTTGCCGGGATGGACAGAGGTTTTTGGGTTGACTTTGAAGGAGGATTTGTCCCTCAAGGTGGGTTGCTTGCCTTTTTTTCCTTTTTTTTTTCTTTCTCCTTGTGATGTCAAGCCGCTCAAAAGCGGGTTCTTGAACTCTGCAACGTGGTTCCTCTCCGCCGCGAAAGGTTTTGGAACCACTTGGAGAAAGACAAGGCAAGACTTTGTGTGGAAGGTGGTTCACTTGCCAAGGAAGATCCGGCAGATCAGACGGATCCTTTCACTACGTGGAGCGTTGATTTGGGCTCGTACCTTACTGCTCATCGCTCTGACAAACGCGCCCTGGAGGGGAACATCGTGCACTGCATCGAGCCTTGCCCGCAGAAATAAGAGAGATACAAGCTCCGGTGGCTCAGCGGCTTTTCGTTGCCGTCGCCCGGCTCCTCCCCCCTCACTATTCACCATTTTTGCATGGAGATGGCACAGCATGCGCCGCGCATTGACGTCTCAAAGCGCGTTTTGCAGTCGGTCTCAGGAGGCCTCGCTGAAGCTTATGGACCTACAGAAGGCAGACGCCAGCATGCGCCGGGCGGCGGAACGACATTTCCAGAGGCGGGGCACTGCGATAACTTCGAAAGGGCAGGGGTGAGGCTGGGGGGAGTCGAAAAGACCCAAGTGCAATGCCAAGCGGCCCAAGCGAAACGCGATTTCCCCTTGGCCATGGTTCAGCTCAAAGCCCACAGTTGCAAGGCAGGTGACTGTGAGGGATATGGCATGCCCCTGGCACCGGAAGCATGGCCCCTCTTAAGCTCAGGTTCAAGACCCACCAGCCCAACTCCAACGGCTCGGCCTACTGCGTGAATGCGACGGTGTTCTGCCTGCTGAACTTTACGTCATTGATGACCGAGCTTGCCGACCGCCTGCGGGTGGTGCAGGCTGCAGAGCAAGCTGTGGTGTATGTGTAGCGCCACTTCGTCCTCGAGTTGGAAGTGGCAAGCCTTGCTTAGAATTTCCCACCAAGCCAGCCAACACCAAGAGGTGTTGACAAAAGGCACAAGTCAATTCTCGGGCCCAAAAGCGGACCCTCAGAATGCCTTGGGACACAGAAGAATTCGTGCAGATAGCATGATTCGTTTTGCAGGGATGCTCAGGGCTCCTTGCGGCGTCTTCTGAAGGACAAGAGCATTCAGTTGCGCTTTGAGGCGCCCAATGCCTGAGCAGGATCCGGAAAACAAAAAATCAAAAACAACACGGATGCAAAGAGGAAAGAGTTTGGAGGCCCGCCGGGCCTGCAGCATTGGGCCCTCGGCTTCGTTTGACGGCCTGACGGGGTTGGCTGCGGAGTGACTGTTGCTGTGTTTCGTCACTGCCTTGTGTGCTCAAGCCAGCAGATAGTTGCCTGATAGTTGCTTGGCATTCTCAGCCTCCAACCAGGAAGCCTTCATTCATTACGAAAAAAAAACAGGCACAGCGGACAAGGCATGATTCAATGAGCGCCTCACACATTGATCAGCCCAAAAGCGACGAGCAAGAGACGTGAGCACAAGCCATCGGGGCGATGGTGACTGGGTTGCTGCTCAAGGCGGGGAAAGAACCAAACTGATGCTTTTGCTGGCCTTGGCCTTGGCCTTTTGCCGAGGGCTGGGACTGTCCACCGAATGCCCACAAGGCGTTTTTGAGAGCATCCATTAAACCAGGCGAGCTCTTCCACAGCAGCGTCGCCCAGCCTGGACGAGGTTCCTTTGTACTTTGCTTGGCCGGGGGGGGGCTTTTCGTTAGGACATGCTTCATTTTTTTAATATATATTTTTTTGGCCGGTGCATGTACCCCAGTCATTGGTTAAAGTGCGGGACGAATCAGACATCTTTTGGGGCAGCACCGCCTGTTGGTGCGAGAGGCTGATGCCGTGAAGCTCGCAAGGCTGGTGAGTGCGAGCTTCGTTTGCCGAGCAGCCCGCCCCACCCGTAGCAGCAACCCTGTGCTCAAAGCAGAGACTTGCTGGCGTCTCCCAAGGCTTGTTGGTGCCGTTTCCCTTGCAGTTTTGCCTCATGAGGCACCCGTCCCATGGACAAGAGGCTACTTTGTTTTTAAGTTGTTCAGGTTTTGTAAAATCGCCGCTGAATACTGAATGCTCCACTCTATGACCGGTCTTGGCACTTTCCGGCACGATTTGGTGGACCTCCATCACGCCAGGCAGATCGGGCACGAGAATGGGGTTCTGCAGGAACTCCTTGCTCGGCAGGACCTTGATGCCTGTTGATGTCTGCTCCAGATAGGAAGACCTGTGAGGCTCCACGGGCATGTCCCAGAACACGGACTCCCCAATGTTGGTTTGTGTTCCTTGGGCGCATGAATCAGAAGCGGTTCGAGTGGGGGGAAGGATCTTGGACTTGGGGGATCCCTTTGATTATGGTACAGTCTTCTGGACCAATCCTCAGAGAACCTGGGGCTACCTCAAACCTTTTCTAGAGCGATCTTTCCTACTCTCGGGCTTCAAGTGTCAGGAAGCGCTCTTGCACAGCCTGTCAGAAGCTCTTGGAGATGATCTGAAGGAGGGCCGCTGCGCACATGCGCAACTCGCAGACATGGCCGTCGCCGCCAAAGTTACGTTTCGCAGGGCGAAACGCCTCAGCTCAAGGTCTACAGCCCTGCGCACAGCCCAAAGGCTCCAGAGCCGGGTGAGACAGAGGCGGAGCTTCGTCGCTTTGCCAGGCGGACTGCTTTGAGAGGCACTCGAATGCATCGGACCTGAGATCGGACCCGATGCTGAACAGTGAGCAGGAGTGCGTGCGCGACTTGCGTCCCAACAGATTGCCGGATAAACAGGCTCCCTTGTGTGCCTTGTGCAAATCCAGGATCGGGCTTGTCAACATGAGTGCCCTAGCGCACCCTTTAGCAATTTCCACCAACTTGGGTGTTTCTCAAAAGACTCCTCTGGGTCACTTTTTCTTTGGAGACCAAAGGGGTAGCCTGGCCAGCTCCAGCCAGGAAGCGGAAGAGGAGCTGGCGCCCCCGAACGGGGAGGAGAATATGTGGCCGGAGGCAGGGGGTGAAAATGGCCATCAGAGTTCAACGCCCGCTCGTTTGCCAGCAGATTTCGCTGCCGCGGCTGTGCCATTGCAAGGCTAGTCCCAAGCGCTCCAAGAGGGAGTCCTTCTTTGCCGCTGGAGTAGCTTGGTTCAGATACGCCTCGCAGACAAGCATGTTTGCGGCCACTGCCTTCGAGCAGTATGATCACTTGGCTGTGGGTCAAAACTAAACCACCAGGGGACCGCAGGTTTTGGTCCATGTTTTCATTTATTGGGGTTACCCCACAGCCACTTAGATGTTACCTAGGGCTTCGCTAAACAGATGTGATATTGGATGGCTTTGGGTTCAATGCTCTGGGCGTGGCTGCGTGCCACTTGCCCAGGCCGACCTTTTCGCCTTCTCCGCGCCGTCCACAAACTCCAAGGCCTCAGGCCTTTCCAGCTGATGCCTTGATCGGGCGCAAGGGCCCCGTCGGCCGTTTTTGGTTGGGGCATCTTTGTCCGTTAGTGTCTCCAGGCTGTGCCAGGGTTAGGCTAATGCCAGGGCTATGCAAAAAAAAGAAAACACCTCAGCCATTTCTGCGTTTTTCCCCGATGTTTAGCGGCAAGATGATAGACCCCTTTGCACAAGGGAGCCCCCCAAAAAAATGACCGCCCTGTCCTTTGCCAGTCCTGAAGAAGCGAACCTTCTCGTCCTCTCTAGCTGGGAAGGCGAAGGCACTGCTGGCGCGTCGTTCCGGTGGCATTCCCATGGCGCCGGGCTGGAAATAATGAACCCCAGGGCCGTAGGGCAAGTGTGGGGTTAGCTTCAAATTTTAGGGGTTTCCTTTGGGGAGGTGCGTCTGGGATTCTTTCCAAACCTCACCTGCGGTAGGGGACCAACATCCCTTTGCTGCAGCGATGTCTCCACAAGCTGGCCCCGGCCTCGGCGTCGGCCGGCGGTGTCCTACACTCGGCCGGCTCGCTGAGGTGGCCATCATTACCTGGTTTCAGGAGCTGAAGGCGGATGGGTTGGGGGTTGCTGCCGGCGAAGGCGGAGGAATTGGCAATCCTTTGTCGCGGCTTGGCATGTACCTATCAGTCCAATGCATGGCCCCCAGTTGGTGGTGGGGAACTCCCTGGCATTCTTGGGGTGTCCCTTTCATAGCCTGTGTGTCTTTTGCAGGTGCCCCTTTCAGGATCCTGCATGACACCCAACCCAAGTGAGCCCATTGCGCGGCCCGGACAGGAGCCAGACAGGCCGTCCTGCTTTGCCCGCATCGCCCGGGGACCTCAAATATTCCGCAGAGATTTACAGGCTTGTAAGTTACCGTGGATGGCACGATCCCAGTATTCATAGGGTTTCATCCATCCCAACTGGTGCAGGAATTGTGGTCGTCATGAAATGAGGTGGACAGCAACAACTTTTCGACCTTCTGCCTCCTGGTCATTCTGAGCAATGCGGCTCGGCAAGCACATTGGGTTTGCAGAGAGAGCCTTTGAAAGAGCGCCAATGCAGCTTTTGTCGCTTGCACACTGAGCTGTGTATGCACCTAGTGCTCTATTGCAATACAGGACCTGTCATTGCATTGCAATGCGTTACAGTACATCACGCAACATTACATACAGTACAGTAAGCGCATTACATTGCATGACATGACATTACATTGCATTCCGCTGCACTATGTTACACTACATGCATACGCGCTACACGCAAAGCATGAATAGACGACATATCATAACATAGAGCCGGCGAAGCCGTTGGTCGGGAATTTCTACAACAGAAAAAAACTACAGTGCTGTTCTTCTTTCTTTTCTTGCTTCCTGTGTTTCTTTCTTTTTTCTTTCTTTCGGTACTTTCTTTTTCTTTCTGTGGTTCTCATTACATATCGGTCTTTCTATCTCTAAATAAATCTAGCTATCTATTTATCTATCTATCTATCTATCTATCTACCTTTCTGTCTATTCCTCTCTCTACCTTCAATTTCATGCACTCGACCTATCTACTTATGAATCTATCTTTGCACTATCCACTCTATTTCAAACACTCATTTCTATTTATCTATCTATGTATCTATCTATCTAATCTACTCTACTCTAATCTAATCTAATCTATCTATCTATCTATCTATCTATCTATCTACAAATCTATCTACAAGTCTATCTACAAATCTGTCTACAAATCTATCTGCAAATCTATCTATCTATCTATCTATCTATCTATCTATCTATCTATCTATCTATCTGCTAATCTATTTATCTATCTATCTATCTATGTGTCTGTCTGTCTGTCTATCTATCTATCTATCTACCTATCTTTCTATCTATCTCTAGCTTTCTCTCTCTCTCTCTCTCTATCTCTCTATTCTATAAGTATGTGGGTATGTGTGTTTTGTTACAAAGAACGCTTCTTTCCACGTACCTGGTCTCTTTCTTCTCTTGTTGCAAAGCTTTGTGCAAGATATTCTGAGTCAGGTTTCTCATCACAAGTACGTTCTGTGCAAGAGCACGGGGACACACATGATGCACTGGGCTGTCTGTCTTTTCTCCCAGCGGAGGCGGTTCTGATCATCATCGTGTCGGACTTCGAGCTGCAGAACCTCGGGGCCTCCATCCCCCAGACCTGGGCGCTTTGGCGCGCAATTTCGGAGCTCAAAACGCGGCGCTTTCTTTTCGCCGCGCACTGCCCGTTGGGGTGACTGTTGGTTGTGTTGCTTCGAGGGTTTTCGCTTGGTCCGTGACTGGACGCGGGCCCTTGAGCTTCCGCGCTTGTTCGGTGCTGAAAGCAACCGAGGAGGTTATGGAACTCGCTTTCACGGCGTGGTATGCTGGGGCCTGATGCGCATGCCCCGCACAGCTCCTGAGTTGTGTGTGTGTGTGTGTGTGTCCTTTTCTTTTCGTACAACGTGCGCCACCCCTGATAGTGCGGTTCCCCGGACGCCATTTGAGTGGAAGTGGATCCAGGTGATCCAGGAGCCAGAGCTGGAAGGAACACTTTTGGACGCAATCAGTTTTTGGGCGCAAGTGGGTCAACGGCTTCAACTTTGTCTTTTCATGGATGTGCGAACGAAGCGATCTTTGCCAGCTGAGGGCATAGAGCTCTTTCTGAAGCTCTTAGTCCATCGACTGCTCCCCTGGCTGAGTTTGCAGGTTGACAGTGCTTCAGAATCGGCTCCAGGCAGTTTGACCCTTCTGAGGTACTTCTTTGCAAACGATGAGTTCCGCCATCCTCTCAGCAGTTTGCTTGCGAGAGGGACCATTGAGCAGGGGCGGGAGGAGAGGGTGCGCCTGCATGCCCGTGAGGCTGGAACATCTTCGACTTCTGCCTGGTGGTATTTTCGGTTATCGAAGTTGCGATGTCGCGGATCGTTCTCATACAGCAAGAATCTGACCAGAAGAATGGAGGTCTGAATGTGGGTACCCAGCCAGCATTGAGGGCGTCGTGTCGAGGTGCCCGATATGGTTCCACACATTTCAATTTCAGGTTCAGGTGATGTCAAGCAACTGCCTGAGCAGGGGTCCTCTAATTTGCCATCTTCAGCAGTTTCATCCAGCATCTCATGGCATCACCTTGTGTTTGCCAGTTTCAGGTAACTTTTTCTCGGTCAGTTGCTGAAGGGGGGGGGCTTAACACGCCTCATAAAGGGGATCCCCCAAAGGTGCGCATTGGAGGGTTGCGGCATGGCCAGCCCGCAACTCAGGTTTCCTGCGGCTGCTCCGGCTAACGAAACTTGCGAAGGCGCGGGCAGGTTGCCATTCTTAGGGTCTTTTTGAGGAAGCGCCCATGTGGCAGCGTTGGTCTATATCAGTTGCCTTGTGGGGGCGCGTCCTATGTTTATTGCATCAGAGCCCTTTTTGGATGCAAATGGAAATCGTTCCCCCCCGCAGCCGCCCACTCGAACGAAGCAACGGGGGGGGCTTTCAGGTGCTCCGTGTCTTCCGGACCCTAAAGTTCTTCACCGAGCTGCGCCTGGCTTGGCGCCACGCGTCACTCACGGCGCACGGTTTGGCGCGGGTGCTGCACTCGCAACCCCCCAATATATCCGAAGGCCCCCAGTAAGAAGCCATGGGACGGACACTGTGCACCCGGGTTTGTTCACTGCCCCACTTTTGGGTTGCACCTTCCGAAAGGCAGCCAGGTGCTGAATAACGATGCCCAAAAACGGCTTCTGCTTGGGGGGATGTGGTGGAGCACCCACTCACACTCAGGCGCCTCATGCTGGATTGCGTTCTGGGTGGCTTGGCCGAAGCAGTCTGCGCGATGTTCTGGACAGATGTGTGACGTGTGCCAGGTTCCTTTCTGCAGATCTTCTGGTGCTTAGCAGCTGCCCTATGACGGACCTCCAAAGAAGAATGCAACATTCGTTTGGTGTGTCTTCGAGCTGTGAAACACTTATCAAAGCGTCCTGTCTGAATTCAGCCGATCTTCTTTGGTGGCAGAGCTCAGGCCATGATCATGTTTGTGCTCTACGTGTTCTCCTTGCTGATCGTGCAGGGCATCGCTGACTTTCTGCTTACAGCACCGGACCCTGGTGGATGGTTCTGATGTGGATCCTTGCGAGAGAATTGGGGAAAGAGAAAGAGAGAGAGAGAGAGAGAGAGAGAGAGAGAGCGAGAGAGAGAGAGAGAGGGCAAGAGAGAGAGAGAGAGAGACGATTCCAACAAGTAGTTGGGTTCCTTTCGGTTCTCTTCACCCAACCAGAAGGAAGCTCTTTGCCTGAGGCCGAGCCGTTGGATCCCGAATACACCCGCTTGCTCATGCAACACTTTGGATCTGTAGGCGCGGCCTATTACTGGTGTGAGCGCTCAAAAGGTCAATGCATGCTTCGTTTGTGCAACGTGCGCCTTATTCATTGCAGGCGAGTGCATCATGACTCTATTCCAGTCAACCACTGCTGGGCTAGACTGGCGGGAAGCAGCTGATCAGCATTGGCGAAAAAAAGAGCCGGTTGGTACCCAGAAACACCTGCCAGTTGGAGTCCCATTTGGCTGTGGGTCAAAGCCAATGGGGTCCCATTTTGGTTGGTAGGTGAATTCACCACCCATTTTGGTCTATTTTAGTGGTTGGATTGGGATGTTCACTGGGGGTACGATTTGGATTTTGACCCATGGCCAGTTTGCGAAGACTTGCTCCAAGCATCTGGTGCCGAGGCCTTTGAGCTGCTCCGCAAGGGTGCGGCCCTTAGACTCAGAGGCCGGGTGTGTGTGCGCGAAAAGATCCGCGCAGGCGGCCCTTTCCTGGCCTTGGTGTTCTTGGCTCCTGCCTTAGAGCTGAAATCGCTTCTTCGGACGTCTGGGGCGCGGCTGGAGAGACGCGCTGGGCAGGTTTACATCAGCATTTTCACCATCTCGGTTTGGAATATCGTCACCTCGACCTTCGTTGAGAAGGCGGGCAAGAGGGCCGGGTGAGCCGCGCGCACCTCGCGTGTTTGCCTGGCTCCCTCTTCCAAGAGGCCACCAAGCTGGCGAAGCCGGATATGGACTCCATGCTCCTGGAGTTGCCGGCTTAGGGGCTGGTTTTTGATCACTGGGGGCCTTTCGGCTGAATGGCGGGGGGTTCCAGGCAGTCCATGAGGGATTTGCAAGACACGGAAGAGCTGGAGAAGCTTTTCCGGCCCTATGCGTCGCCCGGAAAGGCACTTGCCGGAGCTGGGAGTTGGCATTCTACCCATTCTCTTCGCGTGAGAGAAAGCTACGGCACTTGGCGCGCATCGACTGGGTGTAATGATTTGGCCCCAAGTTGGCTTGTAATGTATGTGGTTTAAGGCGCGCGTGACCGCACAGAGCTGATTAATGGTTGTCAACCTAGCCAACCTCTTTAAGGGCTGAGAGCTCACACTTCGGCTAGGATGGAGAGGAGCAGATCTCGCTACAAGACCTGCAGGCGGCTTGTTGACGTGTCTTTCTCTTAGCCGGCTTGGCTGGCGGCTCTCGTTTAGTCAGACATGCTATGCGGGCTGACCCGATTTCGGGGTGCCTTTGTGTAGCTCCTCAAGAGCGAAGTATAGCCCCCGTACTATGTTCATATCGTGGCTCTCCAAGGCATTCTGCTCAGTGCTCACATGTGCTGAATGGGAGGATGCTGCTGACGAAGCAGAGTTCCTTCTGTACTTGCAGGTTCGAGGCGAGGCCTCATTGTCATCGAACTCCCGGCTTTCGGGATGCGCCTAAACAGCGGGAAGTTGAACTTGGACCCTGGCACTGGTCGGTTTAGGCCCAGCCTCAATGGGGAGGGCCTGTGGTGTTCGCCAGGCATTGACGTCAAGAATGTCAAGCTATTCTTCTACATGCTGGGCACGATGCACAAGGCCCTCGCAGCTTTGCAGCTGCTTCGGATCTCGGCATGAGTCGCGCTTGAGGACACGGTGATTGACCTCAAGGCCCTGGTCAGAGCTTGCGCGCGTGCCTCGAATTCTCGTGTCTCGAATTCGGGGTGCCCTCCGGCCCTGTGGGCAGCTCGCACAGGTCCGCATGAAGGGCTTCGCCACGAGCATCGACCTGCAGTCTGTGTCCTTTGAAGCCAAGATGATGCACCACGGCCGGCAAGAGAGCTGAGGGAGCCCTTCACATCCCAGCCCCTGAGCTTAGGCACAGCCAAGTCAAGGACCATTTGAAGGCCACTGCCCTCGGCACACGCGGCCTTGGGGCCTTGAGTTGGGCGCTCTTCCTTGCAACATCTGCCTCGCAGGTGGTGGAGGAGAAGCTGGAAAGCATCCAGGCCTGTTTTTTTTTTTTTTGCATTAAGCATGTGTCGCAGTGCCAACCGGATGTGCTCAGGTCATGATAACGTCCAACGCCAGTTCCTTAAGCCTGCCACCTGTTCGACCTCAGGCGTGTGCCGATCCTTGCTTTTCGGCCCCCATCTCACGCCAAACGGGAAACAACAATTCTGCCGGACAGGCGCCTGGGCTGAGACACAGCGGCTTGGCAGCTTGCCTGGCACCTGGAATCTCAATGGAAGCGCGTGCCAAGGTCGGGTGATGCAAAGGCGGGGCCAGTGGGGCCAGGGCGGCTTGTAGCTCTGCCCCACTTGTTTTTGGCTCAGGGAGAGGAGCCCCATCGAGGAAGCCAGAGTGTGATGCTCGAGTGCTCGAGCTGCGGTGAAGAAAGGCCCTGGCTAAGCCAACGGGCCTTGTGCTTCGGGTGGTTTTTAGTTGGACAGCCCAACATGGGTTGGGGTGATAGGCCCTTGGGGGATCAGTCTTTGCACATCCGGCGAATGACTGGGTAGGCGCATCATGTCGCCCCAGCAGTCTCACCCACAAGCGCCGAAGCTGCGTTTTGTCCGGTTTACAGTTTTTGGAAGTTTTCTGTTTGCCCGTCACAATAAGTAAAGTGGAATCAACTCAATGAGTTGTGATCAGTGAGTTTCCGGCGTTCGTCATGGGATGCTGTTGCTTCTGCTCCCTCCCCCAAACGTGCCCCTCCCCCCCACCGCAGTCCCCCCTAAGCGGCGCCCTGGAGATCTGAGGCCACTTCCCTTCCCATAGAGGGAAGTGCAAGAGAAGCGCGTCAAAACAAAGTGCCCGTTTGGCGTCCTGAGTCGTTTCTGCAGATGCTGGCCATACAGCTTTGGATTTGAACTCACCGCTTGCAATTGTATGTTTTGGTTGAGGCCCCCGCGTGCAGAGCACAAGATGACCGCCACTTTCACTGGGTGGCAGATGGACTGGGCGCCTGAAAGCAACAGGTTTTGATGAGTATATCGCTTTCGCGTCGCTTCGGCGGATTGAGGAATTGGTTTGACGCTCGCTTTCGCTTTCGCGGACCCTGGACAAAATGCAATTTACGCGGCCCTTTCGCGAGTACTAAAATGATCAACCCCTTTGGCAAACCATCCTAGGCCTTTCATGGCCTAGGAAAAGCAACATTTCAGTAGCGACATTTTGCGCGAATGCTACTTTGTCGCGAAAGGAATCCCTCATGCCGCGACAATTCTGAGAAAGCCTTCGCGAAAGGGATTCGATATGGGTACCCATCTTTCTCAGACGCAACTGGGTTTAGAACACCTCTCGAGTGTAGAGGCTCGAGTGTAGCAATAGGCTCCTGGCAGCAATGCCGAGTGCATCGACGCCTCGGACGTTGAGCGATCCCTGGGGGCGGCCCAGTGCCAAGAGCGATAGGAAGTCTGTGGCTTCGGCTGGAAGCTTGTCATCACTTCTTGGTCAGTTGGAGCAGCTGGAGAGGCGGCGGGGCTCAGCTCGCGGAAGTTGAGTGGCGGAGATGACCCGGCCCAGTTCCATGAGCCCAAAGCTTGGCCATGGAGAGTCGAATGCCATGGCCTCGACGCGGGGCTGTTCAGGTTTGCGGGGCTCCCGGACTTCGCAGAGCTCCTGTGCGGAGTCGCGCTCCCTGGCCTCTGGCTTGCCATCGCGCAGCGCGTCGCACGTCGCATCGCATGTGTCGTCCCTTGCCTCTGACCGCAGCTCATGCGTCGCTTTGCAGTCGGGCCGCTCCCTGTCGGCCCGGGGAGCCCAGTCGGCCAGGGGGTCCCAATCGGCTCAGGGGTCACAGACCGCAAGGGGGAGTGGGGGCAGTGAGCGCGACGCATGGCTGTCCATGAGCTCTGGGCAATCGACCTCGGCTTGCAGGCACGGGCGGCGTCCAGATTTTGGGATGCGGTTTTGGATGGGTTGGACTCCGCCAACGTGGATTTTTCCCCTTTGGCCTTCCTTTCAAGCAAGGGCTATCCAGAACAGCCATGTGCTTCGGTGCACGTGAGTCAAGTAGAAGGGACATAATTCCTTGTGACAGGTCAGACGATAGCTCCATGCCACCGAGAACGCCTAGAGCCGTGGACGCAAAATGCTGCAAGCTGTGAAGGCACAACTCGTTCGACATTTTGACCTTCTAAACATGGATTCACAGCTGGTGCTGCGTCATCCGAAGCAATGGACTTTCCACTTTCATGCGGAGAGAGCGCATGGGAAGTCCTCCAGGGGATCCATGGCATTTGTCAAGGCTGTTTCCTAGTTGGAGCCCCCCCTGCAGGAATTCTTTTGCGACGTTTTTCTTGGGGGTGCGTGGCCTGTCGCTCGGGAATGTCTTTTTGGCCGTCCCAGGAAGCGACCAGCACGGCAACGGAGGCCAAGCCCAGCGACTTGGCGGAGAGGGCGGGAGGCGCCGCCAGATTGCTCTCCCTTCACTTGGAAAGGAACTCTTACCCTCGCACCAGCTAACATGGAAGTGCACAGGCCCCTGTAGAAAGACTACTTTCCTCTTGGAAAGGGCCTTTTTGCACTTCCATGTTAGTTGGTGGGAGGGTAGAGGAACAAGTTTTTGCTTGTTGTTTTTTGGATGCCATTTCCCTTTAAAAGGGAGTCAAGAAGGGGGTTTTCATTTTTTTCCAGGGGCACGCGGGCATTGGGGGCTCGCAAGCGAGGAGCTACAAGCAGCTTTTCCGCGAGGCAGCTGGCAACTGAACCGTGTCAAATGAGCCTCAATGAAAACCCGGGAAGATGAAGGCTAGTAAGCGGCAGTCCCAGCCAGAAATAGTTGCGGCCGCCTTCTCAATTCTTTACATGGCTCTGGGTAGACCATTCAAAACCGGGTTTTGATTGTGACTCAGATGTTGATGTTGTGAGGGGGGTGGAGAGGGCCCTGAGGAGGAGATTGAGTCGCCAATGTTTTACTGCCGGTAGCCCAACGGGCGAGAAAAACACAAATCGGCGAAGGTGCCATTTCCGAGCAAGGGGTCTCGTTCCCCCCCCCCCCGGCCCCACATTCATCTTTCTTCTTGTCTCACCGCCAGAGTGCCTATAGGATCGGCCAGCCGCATGTTTGGGGCGACTGCATGCGTCTCGCTCTTTACCTCCCCAACTCCCAAAGAAGTTGTGATGCTCAGGAAGCACGTCGGTGCCCTGACCCTGACTGATGGAATTTCATCATTCTGAAGGGAAGTGGGACCCATGGATGAATCTTGTCTCTTCTCTCACCTAGTAATCAACAGGGAGAAGATAGGATGAAAGAGATTAGGGCGATAAGGCCAGGATATGGAAGCCACATCATATGATTGTGATCGCGAAGAGTGATATCTGAAATGTGCAAGCGTCAACCGTCTACCTCTTCTCTTTTGGGAGGTCTTTTTGCATGCCCTGTCAGATCGAATTCTAGAGCTTACATCTTTAATCACCCTTTGCCTTTTCAGGTTGAATACTTGGGTTTGGCTCAAAATTTAACAGCTGGGGTTACCCAGGTGTTAGCCTTTGTTTCCATATACCCAGGTTCCATTTTGGTTGCCTCTTTTTTGAGCCACAGCCACTTGTGTTGAGCACCCTTTCCAAGTTCGCCCTCCAAGTTCCGGGAGTTCGGGGCCCGGCAGGCCGCTGGCGCGCGCAGCTGGGGCGCGAAGGAGATGTCCGGGGCTTCCGGAAGCCAACCCGACGGGGGTAGAGACGTTGAGATGGTCTGGTATGTCTGGTTCTCCAGTTGCAGGGTGGACGAACAAAACTGGCCCTTGGAGGTTTTTTGCACCGGCCCAGTAATGCCAGGACTCAGCTGAGCCACGAGTGATGGTCTCAGGTGAGAGCATGCCACATCGTGAACGTGGATTGGGTCTGGCGTCTACAAGAACTCTTGAGCTTTTTTGTGCCCTTGGGCTCGCTGCATTGTAGTATTGCTTTTCCGGGGTAGCGAAGTTCCTGTAAAGCCCATGTTGAGTACTTTTATAGGGCTTTCAGGGGGAAGGAAGGTCAACCAGGTTTTTCTTTCTGCCCATTCGCATCAGCCAAGGCTCAGAAAGAAAACAGTGACACGCCCGTCAAGTGCTTTTTGGGACACAAGCTTGCCAAGGGCGTGGCCATGCTGTATGGCTCCCTCGGTGGCTACAACGAGCGGATGCGCCCAGGCTTCAATAGCTCGTCCCTTTGGGCCAAGCATCTAGGTGCCTTGCAGTTTTGGACTTCTTGGGCTGCGGGGTCCCAAGCCGATTCAAGTAGCTTTGCCTCCTTTTGATTCAAAGGTGCTTGACATTTGAGTCAGCCTTCGAGTTGTTGAGCATGCGTGTGTCTGAAAATGAGGTTGATCACTTTAGGCTGCATCTCCAACAGTTCTCGCCGAGGGGCCTGTGTCGGATCTCCTGTTGTGTCCAGCATCGGCCGTACAAACACGTTCAGGCTTTTCAGTCTGACAGGTCTTCACAAGTTACCAAATCCGTGCTCAAGAGACTTGCTGCTCCTGTCCAACAAATTTTACCGTGTTGCCAGCCAACAACCCCCAAACAAACAAGGATAAGGAGTCGCATTTCCTACACATATATATATATATAGATATATTACAAATAGAGACAGACGTACACATACACACGCGCACACATTCTTTGCGGCTAGGTGTTGTTTTTTGGCAGCAGGAGCTCTCCAACCGAGCCTTGTTTGCTATTGCGAGGCCAGCAGCGGGGGCCTTGCGACGCGCAGCCGCGGCAGTGTTGGGCCCTGCGAGCAAGCGCCGGGCCGCCGCCAAGAAGGCCGCGCGGCAGGCCGGGCCAGCAGAAGCTGCAGGCTTTTGGGTCGCGTCTACGGATTGGGGGGAATACGCTAGCCACTGGAAGTTTCTCCACTTTTGTCCAAGTAAAGCCTTGTTTTTTCGGAGTGGTTTGTTGACCCAGGGCGTATATCGATAAAGACCCTTAGGAGTGTCTATAGTGTCCTTCTCAGTTGCGGCTTTGGCAAGGGCCGCTGTCATGCGCCTTTGCGCCCAGAACGGCTGGCTTGAATGAACTGGAAACCAAATTCCCACGTGAGGCACTATGCCTGCTACACTACATGGGTGGTCCTGCCACACATTCATGTGTGTGTGTGTAATCATGCAGGGTTGCGTAGCTGCTGCCACACTTCAGCCACATTCCATCGGTGTCAGGGCAGCTGAGAGCATGCTCGTGCATTCACGACGTCTCCCGCACTGAACATGACCATAGTTGGTGCCTTGGGCTAGTTCGGGGTTTCGAAACATATCTGCGGGAAGTGCAGAGAGGCACATTCCACGTTCCTTGCTCTTCTCCCCTGGTTGCCAGAGGGGGGAGAAGCAGTGACGTACAAAGGGTTACCCTCTCTCCCACTAACATAGCACCTGACCTGGAAGATCAATTTGCTGAAGGGACCCTGTGTAAGGCGCCATGTTAGTTGGAGGGAGGGTAGACTCGGAGAACGCATGCGGCACGCGGACGGAGACGCCGAACAAATCCGCCAGGTGCAGACGCTGCTGGTGCAGCGCGAGCGCCTGGAGGCTCAGCGTGTGGCGGAGGAGCGGAAGAGCGCGCGCCTGGGGGCTGCGCGGGTGGCCAAGGCGGGGGGGGGGGGAGGGGGAGGTCGCGGAACTGATGGGTTGACCCAAAAAGGGGCGCTCCTAAAACTCCTGGTGTCGCCGGGTGTCCCCAAAATACAGCGCTTTGCCCCTTTTGACCGCCATCCCAAGAAAGAGAGAGAGAAAGGTAGATGGAGAGAGAGAGAGAGGGGGCTGTGATTAAAGGGCTTGTTTGTGTTGTTGCGCTTCGGCGCGTTCCGAAGGCCAGCCGAAAGTTACGTGGAAGTTGCAACTCTTGATGGAAGTTGCAATGTTTTTTCTGGCACATGGCACACCCCCTTAACCATCAAGAAATACGCCAAGAAACATACATCCAAAGAGCTCGTCAAGCAAAGCGGGAAGAATCATACTTGGAAGAGTTTCTTTGGTGCGACCACAGATCGCGGATGCCAGGAGGTCGCCAAGTTCTGGCGAGGCTGCTGCAGAGCCGCGCAGTACTTCGAGGCCTCGACCAGCTTACGTCATCGAAGCCATCGGTGCCCCTTCCGCCCCCGGGGCCGAGGTGCAGCAAAGGCATGCGGCGAAGACGAAGCAGCATTTCGAGAATATCCAGGCCCTGTTAGATGCCTCTCACTGAAAAATCCGACAATGTCGGGATTCGTCAGGGCTGAAAGTGAGAAGGTCTTCTTACACAGGATCCCCGCATATGAATAGACCACCAGGGTCCCAGGGGGCCCTGGAAATCTGGGATCGGCATCTTGTCCATCCCACCCCGTCTGGGCATTGAGGTCACCAGCCGTCGCTAAGTTGGCCTCTGGCAGGCCCTGGTGTCGCGCAGCGAGGCGTTCTCCAGCGAGGTCACCACGCAGCTCTTGGCGGAACAGGCCGCCGCAGGGTCGCTTCATGTAGGGCGAAGAAACTTGCTTGCGTTTTCTTCCATTTGGCTGTGGGTCAAAACCAATGGGATACCATTTTGGTCGGTAGGTGAGTTCGCCACCCATGTTAGCACCCATTTTAGTGGTTGGATTGGGATGTTCACTGGGGATAACAGGGGTATTGACCCATGGCCATTTGAATGCGGGATCACGGCAAGGCAAAGCCTTTTTTGAAGGCGCTGAGTTTCGGAGGCCGACGTTTTGAGGGGCCCGGGCGTCAGGAGCTAGAGGAGCTCGACAGCTCCAGTGAAGGGAGTGAGAAGGAGAAGGCCGACTGCCAGGAGTTGTGGTCAAGGAACATTATGGACATTGGGGAGTGGGTCAATATTAAACCACCAGGGGACCGCAGGTTTTAGTCCATGTTTCCATTTAACAGGGTTCCATTTCGGGTACTGACCCACAGCCATTTAGGTGGTGGGTGTCATACGTCAGTCCTGAGTTTAGGACGCAGTAGCGTTTGCGGCAAGTCGTGGGCCAAACTTATGCACACGCATCGTTTGGCACACAGCCCCTGGTCAGGCAGAGGAGCTGGCAAAGACTGAAGCGCCCGCTTTGGACGTGTCTGCTCCATTTGCCGCTTCTGCTTCATCTGCCTCACTCGCTTCGTTTGCCACAGCTGCCGTGCCTGCTTCTTCTGCCCCACCTGCCCCATCTGCCCCATCTGCAACTGCCGATGCGTCTGCTTCAGCTGCATCTGCCCTCGCGCCTCCGGAAGCTGAGAAGCTCGGCTGCAAGTTGACCAAGTCTGTCGGATGTCGGATGCTGTGGGTGCTTGGCTCGACCAGGAGCGGCCCAAAGCACGGCCCCGTGTGCATCGTAGCATGGCATGTGGTCACATGTGAGTTTTTTCGCCGGGCGATTGCAAAGAGGCTAACTTGAAAGACCCTTTGCCCAACACGCACACACACAAGACCAGCAGACAAGAGGCCCAAGTCAGTCCTTTTTGAAAACCACTGGCGGCCTTGTCCTCATGGGCGTTTGGAGATGGCCAAGCCACGGGTGCTTTGCCTACATGGGCGTGGTCTCAACAGTGCCGCTTGGCCTCACACTCATCTCTGTGATGTTGAGCGTTGCCTACTCGCCTTTTTTGTCCTTTTTGCACACCGAACACCGCGGGACTCTGGAGCTTTGGATTTATGCTTTGCATACATCGCGTAGTAGATACATACAGACACACATGCACGCGTTCCGGTGCTAGCAGCCAGGGCACCAGCATGTCAAGCTTGGATCATTCGAGCCCGAGCGGTGCTTGCGTGTTTTGGATCCCTGGATTTTGAAACCAATGGTTTTCTCAGGAAGTGGTATGTCAACTCCCTTTGGCTTTGAAAGTGACTTCGTGACAGGGTTCCCTTCCGTAGATTGGGACAATCCCGATGCCCCAGGCATATTTCCGTGCCCAGCTGAAGGGCCTGATTCGAAAGAACCCGGAGCTGGACTTCTTCTTCCTGGAGGGGCATTTGCCAGCGGAGGCGGGAGCAAACAAAGCGAGCGTGGAGTGTCTACTAGGGCCACTTGGGAAAATGTCAAGAAGCTCGGGGCAACGTTCAACCGTTCGGTTTCGGGGCAGTCCGCCCGAGCGACCAAAATTGGACCACCCTCTTGGAATTCTTCAAGGGGGTCCCAAGGAAGCCACCTGAAGGGCCCTTTGCCCACTTTGCCTTTTCCGTTTGGTCCATCGTTGCGGGAGCCGCAAAACGGAACAAAAACCACTTCAGGGCGCCCGGGGAACAAGTTCGCCGGGCGCGGCTCGCAGGTGGCTCCGGAGGCCCTGGGCGCCTGGAGCGTGGCGCTGAAGCCCCAGGAGCGCCGGGCCTGGCAGTACTTCACGCTCCAAAGGGACCCCCCAGGCGGGCATTGGCTCGCGGGGGCTGCGGGGCCGCGGGGGCCAGGGGGTGGGGGGGCGGGCGCGTATGCTGTGCAGTCAGTGCGTCATGTGACGTTGAGTGAAGCCGCATGCTAGGTGCCGATCCGGCCAAGTGCTGGAAGGCAGGCTGCGACGTGTCAGAGGGCTTGAAGCACACCTGGCAGGCGCATGGTTGTCAAAAGTGAAGCTGCACCAGTTATTGGAGGCTCCAGTGATAGGGTTTGGGGGTTTTGATGGGCTCAGGCAAGATGGTTGTGGGACAGCTGGTGCAGGGAGCCATGCGGCTCGGGCGGGAGAGTTGCAGGCCGCGATGGACGAAGCGATCAGCGGCGGACCCTTCTTTGCAACGCTGGGCTTCAGCCAGGGTGCCAACGTGGCCGCAGCACTGTTGGCGAAGCAGGCGGGAGGGAGTGAGGTGGCAGTGTTCTGAATTGGGGCAGACAAGACCCACTTGGCAAACTGGCCACAAGTTATATTATGAGAAGGGTTCACTCTTTTCAAAGCATGGGTATCACGAGCCCAGGCTCGCCCAAGAAGGGGTACCCTCCCAAAAACTAACATCGAGGTCCCCTCCCTCAATCAGGCCCCATGGACGACTTCCTGAAAAACCTCTTTCAGCTTCCTGTCTGTTTTTGAGGGGCACCCTGAGTTCGACCTTCCATCCGAGTCCAAGTCGGGCGCGGAGGCCTGCTCGGCGCGGACCTTGGGGCTGCGCTGCTCGGTGAACCTTTGCGGGGGCATGTGGGGCTTCTGGAGCGAAAGCTCCGGCCCTCGCCTTCCCGTGTGCAGCTCGTCCGTTGGATGAGTCAGATTTGGACCAGGGATGCGTCATTTTTCTGTGGACTTGGGGCTGCTGGTTTTGTGGAATGGGTATGGATACTGTACATGCCCGGAATTGGGTGCGTTTCCAAAAGTCAAACTGACGAGGAGATGATTAGGTGATGAGTGCGGAACAGTTCCGCCCCCGTTCCGCAGCGCGCACGCCAAGCCCAGCGGTTGGGTTTCCCGCTTCGGTGAACTCTGAGGCGTGCCCTCCTTGCACGTCCTCGGGCGGAAGGACCCCCTGCTGGAGGAGTCCAGGTGCCTGGTGGAGGGCTACGCGGCGGAGCAGCGTGTGGTGCTGGAGCACGAGGGCGGCCGCGGCCCAAGTTAAGGCGAGTCACGGCCAAGACATGAGCCTTCCCTGCAACAGCCAGCAAGCTCTCAAAAAGGGCATGTGTATTCATGGGGTATCGGCCGTGGCCTTCCACCAAAGGTCACACGCGAACTAGCCCTTGGAACTTTGCCCGGTTGAGGCCACACCCCTTTCCCACTGCAGCGCGAGATGCGCGAGGAGTTTATTGGGAAGGTGGGCAAGTTCCTCGCCACGCATGCCACGTAGCCTCGCTTCGATTGCGTCAAGGGAAAAGTGCGCGTGGCTCATGTGCCGTAAGCTGATTTGATATTGTGGAATAGCTTGGGCAATTGAACCATCTGGGCCTTTCCTTGGCTTAGGTGCGTCGAAGCTGAGCGCGACCCCACGTATTTTGAAGGGGGATCCGGCCAACGATGGACATAAGTCTGTTTGCGTGATGTCCACCAGCCCCAAATGACCCATTTCCCATTTGGAGCCGTAACGAGGGGAGCAGTTGCAACATAACAGTGACTTGTAGGAGCTATGAGCGACCCATGAACATTGAGGATGCCAGCACATTTATTGGCTCGAGAGCCTTTTTGCGCACCATTTTCTCGTAGCAATGTCGCGCAGTGCACTTCTGTGGATTCTTCCTGTTGCTCAGGGCCTTTATCCGCAATTGGCAGTTACACCACCAGAAGGCAGTGTGCCAAATGTCTTGGAGAGTAGTTTGCTGTTCGGTTGGAACCAAGGCTTGCTAGCAACCCACTTGGGATCCACAGCACTCTTCGGCTTTGAAAGCAAGGACACCTCGGAGCTGAATGTGTACAAGATCGCACCAGGCAGTGGCTCCCCGGATCTGGGCCCGGGATTGGTTGTAGCCAACAACTCGGATTCTCGAGCCATGGTGACGATGAATGACTCCACCGCCTTGGTTTGCTGGCGCAACGACCCCGGGGCCTTGTGGCAGTGCAGGGCCATTTTCGTTGGCGCCGAGCTGAGCAGTTCCAATGCCATTGACCTGGGAAGTTTTCAGGCGACTTTGGGCCTTGGGGCTGTGACGCTGGCAGAAGGTTTGGGAGCAATCGCCTGCCATGACCGAGAGAACGTGGAGTTGAGCTGCACCGTGCTGGCGCTGGTGGGGTCAGAGCTGCAGAGCCGAGGCCAGGTGAACCTTGCGAATGTGGACACTGATGAGCGCCATGTAGAACCCATCGGCGGGTCAAAGTCACTGGTGGTTTCAGGGATTCCAGCTCGGGCATGATGCAAGCATCCCTCGTAGATGCAGACGAGCTCGCAGCTACCACCCCCACGCTCCTGGGAACTGCCCCCCGCCAGATTTCAGTGCCTATGTCGCACTTCGCGGATGCCGAAGGAGATGTGACAGTGACAGTCTTTTGGGATCAAAATGATGATGTCACCGTGGGATTGGTAAACATTGCCAATGGTTCGTCTTCCGTTACTGTCCAGCCGTTGCAGAGGGTTGCGAGTATCGACATGCTCGACCGGCACGTGCGAAAGGTGAGTGAGTCTCAGGGGCTCTTGTGCTTCTCCGATGCTGTGACACCCAATCCTTTGCGGTGTTTGTCTATGAGTTTTGACGGTGAAGGCAACGTGTCCTTCCGCACCCCTCAGGACATCGCTGGCAGCGTGGCTCGGACTTTTGCCATGGGCACCTTGGACAATGATTCTGCCGTGCTGTGCTACGAGGATACGGCTGTGCCAAACTGGCCTCATTGTGTTGGCCTGGGTGTGACTTCCGATGGCTTGGACGTTGCTCTCCCGGCGCTGCCGATCAAGGCGTGCGGTTTTCGGCTTCGGAACTACGGCCGCAGCATGCCTTGTTAATCAGACGGACTTCCTGCTTTGCCCAGGAGTCTCGGTGACCGCTCTGCATGGGAGCAGCACCACGGTCACAAGCACAGTCACAACCTCCTTCACATTGACAACCGTTACCACCACATCATGGACAGAAACTTCAACAGTCAGCACAGTGACTCAGACCGCCAGCACAGTCACGGCTACAACTGTGACTTCAGTCAGCTCGACTTCTTCCACAGCAAGCACATCCACGGTGACAAGCACAGTCACCGTGACCAGCACGGCTACATTGACATCAATCACAGGGACCACGGTGACAAGCACAGCCACCGTGACCGTGACCAGCACGGCTACACGGCTACATTGACATCTGGCACGATCACAGGGACGCCTGGCACAATCACGTGGACCAGCACAAGCACGATGACATCCACGAGAACATCCAGCAGAACCACAATGATATCCAGCACAGCCACAGCCATGACCTCCGCTGCCACAAGCATGGAGGACATGTCAGTTGCGTCATTTGCTTCCGCGTACGGCTTGTTTTTGTTGATTGCTGCTGCGCACTTGTCAAGGCCCTAAAGGGCTCCGGCAGCCAAGGGGTGTCCGTACAGCGAGCTCCAACAAAGTTGCAGCGGCTGATGTCGGCCCCAGCAAAGCTGCGGCAGATGACAAATGTCATCTGAACATTTCTCCATTTTTGCTTATTATTCTCCATGAAGGGTAAAAACATATTGAACATAATATGAAAGGACGCCAATAGGCACTATCAAATATATAATAGTAATCTTCTTTTCTTTTTTCTTTTGGGGGGAGGGGGAACCTTGTCCTTATATGAAGGAATGTCATGTTTATTTGCTTTTGTATGATGAGTTGTTGTAAAGTTGTGGCGGTTGACTCGAATGAGGGTCAGAAAATGAAATCTTGGTGGGGGTCAAGCTGGTCGTGATCCCGGCTGGCAACTTTGATATTTTTTTCTGCAACCACAAAAAGCATTGGTTAGCCAAGTGCAGTGTAAGGAGCGGCCAAGCCTGCCAAAGACTGAAGAAAGAGTTGGAGACGCTGTCCCCTGAGCGACTTGCATTACGTTCAGCTGAAGAATTTCCAACAACTATCTTGCGAGAGACACTTGCCAGATTCGCCTGTCAGAATGACCTTGCTCTCAGCAAGGCTCTCAACCGACAACTTTGATCGTCGGCATTTGTCGCAGCAAATCACGACGCAAGTCCCGGTGCTGCTTCTTCGCCATCAAATCAGAGAGTGCCTTTTCACTGGTTTCAGACATTCAAAGAGTCAAAGGCATATGCCGCTTCTTTGGTTCGGCGCGCGGTCCAGGTATCAGCATGTTGGCCCCTGCCTCATTTGTCGAGCAGTGGGGGTTGGGTGATTCGGTGATTCGGTGAGGCGACTTGGTGGCTCAGGCCTTCATTGGCTTGCCACGCTGCATGATAAGCAATTCAACGGCATTCTTGCAGATGAGAGCCTGTGATGGCACTCAGCACAGCGTTTCTTTTTTTTTTTTTTGGTTTGGGGGGGGGGAGGATGGCTCCGGCAAAGAAGGGGAGGGCAAAAGATTGCGCTCGCATGCAACATGCCACCTGGTGTGAGTATCGGCAGATCTGCCGGCGCGTTGGATCACTGAAGGGGGAACGCTAGCAGGCTGACAATGTCGCCCACCAGGGCCCAGCCTGGTCTAAATGTGAACCCTAACTTGAGCTCAGGATGGGCCTTGGCAAAACCATCATGACCATTGCGCTGCTCGCGCATTTGGCCATTGAGAGCCTTAGACTGAACAGCTTTCACCGGGCTTCATGTAGTCAGCTCAGCATGTGCCCAGGAAGCAAGTCTGGGGGCCACACTTGATTGTTGTGCCGACCTCCGTTCTGATGAACTGGGTGAAGGAGTTCAAGAAGTGGGCTCCAGGTACGAAAGATTCCGTCCTTTCGCTCACGCTTTTCAGGGGCTAAAGTGGGCATCAATGTGTTGAGCAGGAAGCTGGCACTGTGGGCTTGGATCCCCTGAGCCTGGCATGCGCAATGCCATGGAGCACCGGCAAGTGATTTTAACTGTCCCCAAGTGCACACCACCAACCATTGAACAGGGGTCGATACATGGGTCGTAATTTTAATTGGGACCCTTTGGTGGACGTGACTTAGCTAGGAGGAGATTCATGTCCACCAGTGTCAGGGCTGAAAGTGTGTGCCTACTTCGGAGACGTCGAGGAGCCCAAATTGCAACCAACGCTGACAAAGGATGCACGCCTCAAAATGTCGGTTGATTTCTGTGTGTCTGCGAAACTTTGGCAGGAGCGACGCTTGAAACGCCGTGGCTGGGGGAATGAAGATGCCTTCCACGTTTGCGTGGTGTCGCGCCTTGGATGCTGGCAACAAGTCCAAGTCGGTCACATGCCTGAGTGGCTGCAAGTCTCCAAAAGTGCACGGACCGAGGTACAGCGTGGCATTGCAGGATGTTCAGACGTTGTTCCTTGCTCGCAACTTCAGCCTGTCCATTGCAGACGGACCCCCGTCTGCGATGATTTGGGAAGGCGGGGCCCCTTTGGGAAGCGCCCTCAAGTCCAGGCGGCGGAAGCGTTGGTACTACCTCATCTTGGACGAGGCTCAGCATATCAAGCGCCCCGGAAGGAATGATGGGCCGTGGCTGAAGGGTCAAGTGTAACAAAGGGGAAATCGGCGCAACTAGAGATTAACCATGGTGGCGCTGGATCAACTAGATTTATATTTTTTGGGCGTTTTTAAGAAGGCCTGTGGGGACCCCCATAGGACAAATTCAATAAACTTTGAGTTTCATAATTCTCAGAAACCTAATATTGTTTTTGAACATTTTTAGATATTGTTTAAATTGTTTAAAAATTGTATATACTGTTTTTTGAATATTTCAATTATTGTTGAACCTTTGTTCAAATAATGTTTACATATTGATTACCTTGTTTCAATATTGTTTATCTATTGCTTAACATTTGCGGAATGTGTTTTACATCTTCAGTAAGATGATTAACACACCATGACATGCTAAGAGGACGATGCTGCGGCTGTTTGGGGTGCTGTTTGCGGGGATTTGTGTAGGAGTTGCAGCAGCCAACAGTTCCATGCGTGCTTAAAATCACACTGCCATGCTTTTTCCCTAGCCAACTTCCTGGTATGAGGAGAGCGGGAACTCACAGAGCCGCTTGCCTCAAGCTTCAGGCGCCGCAAGATATGGCCAAGTCGTTCTCGGTGCATTTTTTCCGTCATGGCCGCTGTGTTAGGCTTTGACTCCGTGCTTGCGATTCTGCAGGGCTTGGGAGAGTCAGAAGACGCAGGGGGCGGCCTCGGGCCAGAACACGGCAGGCGCCGGGCAGGAGGAGGCCGCCGACCCGCAAGAGGCAGACCGGGCAACGCAAGAGTCGGAAGGTTTGGGAGAGGTCTCCGGCAGCACATTGCCAATAAGAAGAAGAAGACAAGGGGCCTGAAGAGAAGACAGGCCCTTGCAGACTGGCAAGCAGGCGCGTTTAACAAGAGCGGGCGGTCTCGGAACCAGAACTTCCACTTGCCTGTCCACTCAGATTAGCTGCGAAGGAGAACCAGCAAGGGCAGAAGCAAGTGGAAGGAGTGGTCACCAGAGCCATTCTGCGAGCTGGGTTAAGCTCTGAGAATGCCACTGCCCGGGAGATCAGCAGCTCCATCGATGGTGCTGGATGGTGCTGGGTACGTGCACGCGCACCAGTGCCGGCTTGTGGTTGCTGGCCAACCCGCAGCTGATGAAAGCCACGTGTTTCTTCTACGGCGGCTTCAGTGCCTGGTCGCAAGAGCGCAAGCGCGCCTTTCGAATGGCTTTGCTGGTAACCAGGGCTCATTCGCAAACTTGCTGAGCCGTTCTTGGAGCTCCCCTGGCGGCTGTGGCCGTTATGCGGGGGAAAGGGACCAGACGGAGCGGCCGTTTCGAACGAGGAAAGAAAGAAGTCGCGCAGGAGCTTTTGTCCGCGCCCCCCTGCTGCTGCGACCCTGGCTTCTCTGGCCGGCTGCGCTCTCTGACTGTTGCGGAGCTGTTGTGCGAGCGCCGCCGTGAGTTTCTTGAGCTCATATTTTCGCGGGTAGTTTTGACATCTACGTTCATCGAGCGAAGGTTTGCCAACTTCACTCAGTGGACAGGCAAGAATCGACCGTCCCTTCCATTGCTTGCTGCGAAGCACTGCGCCAGATCCTTCACTGAGGCTACGGCCGCTTGGCGCGCAAAGTGCGGCTTCAAGCCAGGCAGCAAAAGGCCGCGGCCAGCTTGGTGCAGCACATGTCGCTTAAACGGCTACCAGGTGTATGTGAGAGAGAAGAGGGAAGCCACAGGTTCTCTCTCGGGCGCGGCAGACAGCGTCGAATTTCTTTCGCAGGCCGCCTTCCGAGTGGAATCAAATGCCGAAGCAGGCCTATACGGCCTAAAGGCGCACACGGAAAATGCTCGGGCACAGTTGCTTCGGGAAGCGGAGGTTGCGGTGCGGCCTGTAGCTGCCCAAGGAGGCCCGTGGGAGCTTTCTTTTTTGCCGGAGGCTGGCGATCAGACCTGGCCACTTGCGTCGGACTTCTTGACCAAAGGACTCAGTGACTCGCCGAGCACGGCGGCTTCCGGGCAGAGGCTGCTGCCTGGGCAGAGGCAAGACGGCGCGCGCATTTGTGTTCGTGTGTTTTGCAAGTGACGGGCCCTGCATTCACTTCAGTTTGGATTATCGACAGCGACAACAAACGTGCTCAGAACATTGCCAGTGTGATTTTGAATGCCGCTGCTATAGGAAGCAGTTGGAGGCACGCGCGCGCTCCCTTGCGTCACTCTTATTTTCTCGGATAGATGGCTTGTTTTGCGGGCACTGGTTGTTATAGAATGTTGAGCTGCGCCGCTGAGCCCTGCGCCCCCTAGCCTTGGTCACACAGGCGCACACGGCCCTGGCGGAGTTGGAGGAAGATCTGGACATGGAAGAGGGCAGCTGCCTTTTTGCTGTGTGCCCGCCTGGTGGCTGCTTTGCTGATTTCACAGACGCAGAAAGAGCTCACGCCCAGGTGATTCACACCGGCCTCTCTGTCATCGTGCGGCGGCGAGCGCCTGCGAAGGGCCGACTGTCAGCCAGCCCTCTCGCGCTACTCGGGAGAGCCAAGCATCAGGCCGGGTGTTTGCGGCCGTCCTAGCCTTTAGGATTCATGTCGCGAACATGGACATGATCTTCCTCGAGCTCTGCGCAGATGTGACTCGCAAGCGCGCGCCTCCGTACGACAGGAAGCTGCAAGCGCACGATCTTCGTGCGGGCTCTGTCCGGCACTGGAACGATTTAGCTCTTGTCCACCACCTGGTAAAAGCACACCAGGACTGGAGCGTGAGCCAGCTCATTTTGGCGACGTTGCTGACTCTGCGGATATATTCCGCGTTGAGAGCCTCCAAGCTTTTGACACAGACCAGCTGCTGGCAGAGGCAGCGCAGATCAAGCAGGAGCAGCGAGCTTTGCGCGCTGCCAGGCTGGCGCACGGCTCGAAACAAAAAGCGGTCGCCGTCTGGCCGAGGCAGAGGCCGCAGGGGAGCCCCTTCTAGGGCAACAGGCCGCGGGCCGGGGCTGGAGATGACGGTGTCGCGGAACCCGCCTTAGGCGAGGAAGATGGCGACGCTGACGGCGACGACGAGCTCGCAGATGATGAGCAAGATGACCACTGGCAGCTGCATGTCCCGCCGCCCGCGCCAGAGCCTGACCTACCTGAAAGCCACGCAGCAGCGTCCGCAAACGCAGACACGGACGCGCTGTGTCAGCTGGCCCCTGCGGAAGGAGCGCCCGAGCACGGCGCCGTCGCGGCTGCCCCGCATCCGGCCGCCCCGCGGCCGCAAGACGGAACCAGAAGCGGGGTCTCCCCTGGGGCCCCTTCGTGGTTTCGCCAATCGTTCCACGCGCTGGCCACTCTGGCTGGGGAGCAATATGTGGACAAGGCTCCAGTTGTAAAAAGGCTGTCATGACCAGCGCGGAGTGCATCATCCGCCTGAAGCGACTTTTCCCCGCACCGCCCGCGATCTCACCATGTCTTTCCTTGGAGGTCCTGGCTTGGGCGCCTTCGCAGTTGGCTTATCGGAGGAGGAGCCGGACCGAATTGTAGTTGATCTTCAGCCAGGCGCAGCTTTCTTGGCCAAATGCAAGTATATTGGCATGTTTAACGCCTGCCGGTTAATGAATCTCAATCACTTCGGAACGAATGCAATACTTAATGTATGTTTACAACATTGAATGTTCTATTTAACAATAAAATAAATAAATAACTTTCGAGAAAAATATAAGAATAATTAAAATATTTGTCTAGTTAGAGAAACTAATGGTTTAGTTAGAGAAACTAAGGGTTTTTAGTTAGAGAAACTAAGGGTTTAGTTAGAGAAACTAAGGGTTTAGTTAGAGAAACTAATTGTTTAGTTAGAGAAAATATTTTCCGAAATGTTTCTTTTTCCCCATAATCTTAAAAGAAATTTAAACAAGTTTCAATCATTCCGGGCATACAAGGTTTTCATGAATGTTTGTTTTCAATTGTTTTCACACACACATCGCACACTCCTAGTTTGGCCACTCCATTTCTCGCAGGTAGCTAGCGGCCTCGCGCCTGGTGCTGAGCGCCGGGGCTTCCCTTAGGGCCTTCGGCCATGCACGGCGTGCGTTTCAACTTTCCAGCAAATCCAGGCATAAAGAATGTGTGGGGCACGAAGAGTGTCCTTGCCAGATCTGCGCGCGCAGCGGCATTCCACTGTAGCCATTTGCCGCTGGCCTGCAGGCCCAAGGTCAGGAGGGGGAGCCGCAGCAGGCACTGTCAGGTTTGGCGTGGTCACTATTGGCGTGGTCAGGTTTGTTATTGGTATCGTTTTTTTGTGCTAAGTTGCAGCGACTGTTGCTCTTACTGGTGCAGTCGTCGTTTGTGTCCGGCCCGGCGCCATGCTGCCCAGTGTGAGCGTGCGAAGCGCGACTAGCTATGGCGACAGGGATGACGACCTCGGAAAGGAGTTGTTTGCAGATGCGGAGTCGCTCCAGGCAAGGCAGTCTGTGCGGTCAGGGCGCGGTAAGCAGCGCAGTCTGAGCTTTAGTCTTTCCAAGCCCTGCAGCTGCTCGCCTTGCAATTGCAGCAGCACGGAGCCTTCCCCTTTGCTGGAAGCCACTCCTTTCGACTCCTGGGGTGGCAAGCGCCCGTGGGCGAAGTATAGAAGCGGAGTGCGCAACAAGCAGGGCGAGGAGTTTTCTGTGCCCGAAGGCAGAGTGTGCTTGCTGTGCCGTAACTTGTTCAAAATGCTCGGCATGGACTACACGCATGGCTCACACAAGAGGTACGCAGACAAGATCAAATCCAAGGCGGTGGACCACCAGGACTTTTTGGCGAAGCTTGACAGGTGGATCAAGACCCAGGGCAGTCTCGTCTTGACCTGTCACACAAGCAGGGCGTGCAGAAGGCGAAGCAGCAGCTGAAGTCCCAGCGGAGCTCAGGCGTGACTTTCGAGGCCCCTGACATGTTTTCCGTGTCCCAGGAGCACTGGGATGAGAAAGAGTACGGTCAGCTGGATGAGGCCAAACTGGAGGAGCAAGTGTTTTGGAAAGACAGTGCGGGGGGCCTACGTCCAGAGCGGCAAGACGGGTCACTATGCAAAGTCAATCACTTCCAGACGCAAAGCCACGTGCAAGAGACTTTAGAGCACGACGGCGAGCACAGTTTGCAGAGGAGGCCCTGGCCAGCAAAAAGAAGGCCGTGGCGTCCGTGTTCAACGACGCACAAAACGAGAGGCGCTCAGGCGCAGCAGGTGCGAAAGGACCGCAGGCTCTTGACTTGGACGCCATCTTGGCAGTTGTTGCTGGCCAAGCCAGCCAAGGCAGCGCCCAAAGAGTGGCGGACAAGACTAGCTGCGGGCTCAGCAGGACAAGCTCCCGGCGGCGGCCTTGGCAAAGGACCCCCGCTGACAAAGGCCCAGCCACCACGGCTGCTGGCGCCGGCAGCGAAGGCAAGGCCAAGCCTGAGAATGCTAAGGCAGCCAAGGCAGACAACGACAAAAAGGCAAACGTTGCGGACGCTGGAGCTGGAGCCCTTACTGACGCACCAGTGCTGCTGGACGGCCGGGGCCTGCGCCTGAAAGGCACTGTGACAAAGCAGCTGGATGACTTCCGACGCAGGTTGGAGCCACCGCTGCGCCTTGTCCGACCGGCCGCGGGAAGTCTTTGACTTCTTTGAGGAACCACTCAAGCCAGCTCCAGAAGAAGATTGAGGAGTCACCCAACAAGCACGGACTTCTGGAAGAATCGAAGCAGCTTGAGATCACCACCCTCGCATCTGCAGCGCTTTCCTTGAGCAGCGAACTTTCTTCTGGCGCGCCGAAGGCGCAAGAGATGCATGCCCTTGCAATGGCCTCTTGGAGAGCATCGATGTGCCAGGATGCAGACTGATCTTGTCTGAGAGGGTCTGGCTAAAGCTCCTTGAAGTCATGTGCCGAGTTCATGCTTTTCCGCCGGAGGCCGGCTGCTGAGGCTGCGTTTAAGAGTATGTTCTCTTGTGTTCCCTGGCCTTTGTTATGGAAAACGAGTTTGAAACATAAAACGAGAGTTGGCCAGTGAGAGAAAGGTAGCTAGAAGCCAGTGAGAGAGTTGGCAAGTTTACGTAGCCCCTACAGCCCTTCCAAGACAACAGCTGTGGATCGAGGCTTCCAAGAGCGAAGATTGCCGGCTCCTGCTAGGTCGCGAGGCTTTGAAATATCAAGGATTCCCGTCCCTGCCTTTCTTGAGGCAGCTTCAAGACGAGCTTCTGCGGTCTCTGGCCAGCGAGCCAGCGCCGCCAGGGAAAGGGCCTCAGGCCACGCGACAGGGGTCTTCGACCGAGTGCCCAGGGCACGGGCCTCCGGCCGCGTGGATGCCGTCAGAATGTTTGATGCAAGACTTGGCAGGCAACGCTATGGCGCTGCCCGTCCTCCTGGCGCTTACGCAGTGCGCTTTCACAGCTGTGTCGTGGCGACAGACTGGGGCTGATGCACACTTGGCCAGCTGGCCCGCATCAAAACAGGGCAGGGTGTGCCTTTTGGTGGAGTGCCGGGAATTGCTTTTGAGCTGTTGTGCGCACTTTGTCACTTTCATCAACGGTGCAGTTTGAAAATGTGGGGCATATGCATTCTAATGTTTCAAGCCGGAACACAAAGAAAAGTCTTTAATTCTAGCATTGGTTTGCCGCAGGACATCGAGACTGCGCTGGGCGCTGTGGACTTGCTGGCGCAGCCTCAGCCAGCTGCTCCATCGCCAAGCCTGGCCCAGAAGCGTGCTAGGACGAGTGGAGACTGACCTAGGATTCTGGCGTTCGGAAAAAGCAAGGGCTTCAGGTGAGGAGAGCTTTCAAGCAAACTAGGCTACGGATTAGTTTCTGACAAGAGAGGGGGGCAAAGGGTCGGGTCAGCCATTGCCTCACTGATTGGAATACTGGGCAGCTTGCAAACGTATGTTCAGCATTTTCTTTAGGCCCACCGCCTAGCATTCAGACAATGTGGCACACGGGACACCAAAAGGATGCAATAATATATCTGGACTTGTTTACACAACAGTAAACAAGTAAGTAATATGTGGAAACATTTTTGTAAATTCTTTAAAACAGGGTAAATTCAAAAAGAATATTTTGAAACATTTTTTAAATTAATTGGAATTTTGAAATATTTAAACAATTTTTACAATAATTTAAAGAATATTTCGGAATTATATATGTACTTGTTATGTATACAGTATTCAGTAAGACCACAGGCCTCTTAAAAACACCCAATATATTTTTCTTATTCTGGAAAGCGGAAAGCCTTTGTTTTTGGGGAGCAACCCTCCTCGTAGTCCACCAGACTCTTTTGAATCCAGGATTGACATGTAGGGCGTCCGAGCCATACAGCGCCGCATGGCGACCCGTCGCCCAGGAACTTCCGCTCCCAGAAGTGGCAGCAGCTCATGCGCCTCCTGGCTGGATGGCCTGAAAGCATCGAGCAAACAAGTCCCCTTTAGCCTCAGGTACTGTGGGTGCGTCAACACCCCCCCCCCCGTTTTGTGGTTTTATAGGGACACCACAAGGAAAGCCGCTATTCTTTTGGCGAGCCCTTAAAAAAAGAGAGACCCACATGAGGCTCCTGGCAAGTTGGGCCTCTGATGCTGGATTTGACAGGCTTCAACTCAGCTCGGCGCTTGCTACTGACGGGCACGCCGCTGCAAAACCATCTCACGGAGTTGTGGTCGCTGCTCCACTTCCTCATGCCCGCCTCTCGGCCGAAGATGGGTGTGTCCCCTTTTGGGCGGTTTCGAAAAGAGACAAGAAGGGAAAGCCGCAATTTAGGGGGTCCTAAACAAAAGAGACCAAAAGGGAAAACCGCAATTTAGTGGGTCCCAAACAAAATACACACCCACACTGGGGTCCGAAACATGAAACCGACAGACTCACATGGGGCCAAGGGCCCGGGATGGGAGGCTCCCGCCCATAGCTGAAATTGATGGCTGAGGACATGTTTCACTCCTTCACGGATTTCAAGGCTTGGATGCATGGCGGTGCAACAATTGCTTGTTGGGTTGGCCGCGGAGATGGAGTTGGGGCGCCTCTCAGGAGTTCTTCTCAGATCCTCTGCAGCAGGCTCTTCAAGAAAAGCGGGTAGACCAAGAGCAGGACGGAACCCATCTGCTGGTTTGCTATATGAGTTGGCCACAACAGGCTGGTTAGTGGGGAATTTTTGGTTTGGACAATGTTTGAGTGCAAACCTCGAGGATGCATCGCAGGAAGCCAGGCATTTGTGTCCCCCTGAACCGGCGCCTTTGGACCACGCATTCAAAATCTGCGAGGATCTCGTGGCGCGGCTGCACAAAGTCCTGCGGCCCTTCATGCTCCGGAGGCCTTGAGATGGACCAAAGGTCCGATCGGTCCAAATGGAGGTCTACGGAGTCTTTCGACGCCGGTCAAAGCTTCGTTCTGCTTTGGACTGCTATTGGGTTGGATCTTTAGACTTTAACTTTTTTGGGAATCAAGTTGGGTTTTCCACTAAGCCCCACAAGAAGTTAAACCTTTTGCAGCGGGTCAACAGGAACCAAGCAAAACGCCTTGGACGTGTCAGGCTGAAGTGTGAAGTGGAGCGCCAGCTGCCTAACAAGCACGAGTACGTTGTTGCCTGGCAGCAGGGCGGCGGGGAATTTAGGGGAGATGTGAGCAGTTTGCACCTGGCATCCGGCAAGAACCTCGCAGTTGCCACAAAGAATCAGGGGCGAAGCAGGGGAAGTGGGTAGCCAGGTTCGCTGCCCCTTGTCTCGGCGCCAGCAGTTCCTGTATGAGGAGTTCATGCAGAGGTTTTCGCTTGCGAGTTTAAGCTCAAGCGCAAGACCGCAATGGCAGGCGAGAGACGCAGCATGTCCTGAAGAAAGGTGAGTACATGGGCATGATGGGCTGCGCGAATGCACCTGGTTTTTGCTTTTGTGTTGCAGCATTGCGCATGTCTCTTTTTGTTTGCGTGTGTGTGTGTGTGCGCGTGTGCGTGGGCGCGCCATTCGCACTTACTTTCAAAGAGGTGTTTGATGTGTGGCGCCACTGTGGGCTTGCCAAGGAATCCTCATGCAGCTGAGCGACTTGGATTTTTCGAGGCCAGAGCTTGCGGGGCATTTTCCGCGATGCGGCTGAGGAAAAGTGTGCAACCACCCGGAGCTGTTCGAGCCGCGATGCCCAGCGACCAGGCTGCAGTCCACAGGTTGCCCTGCGAGTGTTTTTTTGTTTTTGGGGGGTTTTGTTTTGCACATGGTTGAAAAGGAGAACAAGAACTCAAAACACATAACATCCCATGTTCTTTGGTTGCCCACGTTTCGAGTTATATGATAAAAATGGGCCAGCCATTTGAAGGTCTCGTCATGCAGGATATTTTCAGGGTTGGCCAGCCTACCTCTTGGGGTTGATTTCGAGAACGGTCAAATGAGAGACCCATTTGCATGGAACCCCACGTGTCTCCAAATGAGTTTCTGTTCTTTGCAGCTTGCAAGTTCCTCCGGCAACAAACTAATGTTTGATGAACAATGTGTTTGAGCCAGGCTTACTCCCCATCGATGGTCTGACGATCAGTTTCAAAAGAAGATCTGTTTGATGACAGTGACTCATTTTTGACTATTTCTGTAACAATGATTTTTTGCCACCTTTCCCGTGCACCTTCCCTTTTGGCAAAGCGGGTCGTCGGATTTTCCTTTGAGGTGCTCTAGAGTGTCCAGTATTTGGACAACCTGGGTCCTTACAGTTCACATTGTTGCTGATTTAGCGGGAGGAATGGGAGGTTCTCTGCGTTGATCATTCAAGCAAACCCCAAACGGAGAGCCTCGGCCAATTTTTGTTTGGGGGGGGCTCCGGATCCAAGTTTTCGAAGTCCACGGGCCGCCGGCGCGCCGCAGCCCAGGCCACGGCCTTCGTCATGGCCCCCCTGGAGGTGAGCTTCCCTGGCGCGGTGCTGCTGGCGCTGTGGCGGGCGGTGGCTGGGCGCCGGGTTGGAGAGGACGGAGACGCATGGGATGCGGGGGTGTGGCCCCTCACCAAGGGAAAACAACAACAACAACAACAACAACAACAACAACAACAACAACAACAACAACAACAACAACAACAACAACAACAACAACAACAACAACAACAACAACAACAACAACAACAACAACAACAACAACAACAACAGCACAGCAACAGCAACAACAACAACAACAACAACAACAACAACAGCAACAGCAACAGCAACAGCAACAGCAACAGCAACAGCAACAGCAACAGCAACAGCAACAACACAACAACAACAACAACAACAACAACAACAACAACAACAACAACAACAACAACAACAACAACAACAACAACAACAACAACAACAACAACAACAACAACAACAACAACAACAACAACAACAACAACAACAACAGCAACAGCAACAGCAACAGCAACAGCAACAGCAACAGCAACAGCAACAGCAACAGCAACAGCAACAGCAACAGCAACAGCAACAGCAACAGCAACAGCAACAGCAACAGCAACAGCAACAGCAACAGCAACAGCAACAGCAACAGCAACAGCAACAGCAACAGCAACAGCAACAGCAACAGCAACAGCAACAGCAACAGCAACAGCAACAGCAACAGCAACAGCAACAGCAACAGCAACAGCAACAGCAACAGCAACAGCAACAGCAACAGCAACAGCAACAGCAACAGCAACAGCAACAGCAACAGCAACAGCAACAGCAACAGCAACAGCAACAAGCAACAGCAACAGCAACAGCAACAGCAACAGCAACAGCAACAGCAACAGCAACAGCAACAGCAACAGCAACAGCAACAGCAACAGCAACAGCAACAGCAACAGCAACAGCAACAGCAACAGCAACAGCAACAGCAACAGCAACAGCAAGAGCAAGAGCAAGAGCAAGAGCAAGAGCAAGAGCAAGAGCAAGAGCAAGAGCAAGAGCAAGAGCAAGAGCAAGAGCAAGAGCAAGAGCAAGAGAAAGAGCAAGAGCAAGAGCAAGAGCAAGAGCAAGAGCAAGAGCAAGAGCAAGAGCAAGAGCAAGAGCAACAGCAACAGCAACAGCAACAGCAACAGCAACAGCAACAGCAACAGCAACAGCAACAGCAACAGCAACAGCAACAGCAACAGCAACAGCAACAGCAACAGCAACAGCAACAGCAACAGCAACAGCAACAGCAATAGCAATAGCAACAGCAACAGCAACAGCAACAGCAACAGCAACAGCAACAGCAACAGCAACAGCAAGAGCAAGAGCAAGAGCAAGAGCAAGAGCAAGAGCACGAGCAAGAGCAAGAGCAAGAGCAAGAACAAGAACAACAACAACAACAACAACAACAACAACAATCACAACAAACACAACAAACACAACAAACACAACAAACACAACAAACACAACAAACACAACAAACACAAC